CACATGTGTATATATATATATATACAGAATTGTAAAGAGATTTATGTTGTAAATTAAGATTAATAGAAGACATTTTTCTTAAGCTTCAAAATTTGTTAAGTTTAATTTTTTACAAAAATAAAACATTTCAAATTGATAAATTGAAGTAAAATACAGTTCAAGACTTTATTTGCTAAATTAATTAAAAGAGGTTTAAACTAATTCAAGCCAAAAATACTGTAAATGTAATGAAAGGACAAATCATAAATTTTGATATTGTAAATCCATCACACAAATTCTTGAAGAGAATTTAATAATTATAGTAAACAAGTGAATGACCCCTAAATTCCTTACTTTAAAAATTCTCGATTTAAAAATTCTGATACAATGAATACTGTAAGTAAAATCAGATGTTTGAAATTTTAGATGTCAAAATTCTCAGATTTTCCTTAACCAATGGAATAGTTTTCTTTGACTGAGCTCACACAGCATAATATGAAACCATAATAATTATTTTTACAGGAATTTTTATTAAAGAAGAATTATTAAAAAGAATTTTTATTAAAAAACTATTACCAATCCATACATTACACGGATGATAGTGGCTTATGAAAAATACCTAAAATCTTAGTGGGAAAAAAATATATAGGGGGTCATGGTTCATATGTACACATTGAGTGTGATCTACTTCTGAGTTTAGAAAGCTATAAATTGTAATTGAAATTTTCATCAATGAATGGAAATATAAACATTTATTTTTAATCTTATTTCATATGAAATTTTAACACTTTAAGTGCAAATAATTAAAATTATAAGCCTTATTATTTAAGAAACAAAAACCTTTACCTTTCAAAACAATTTTAATAGAGATTTTAATTATTAATAAATATTAAAACTGTTCTTGATAAATAAAAATAAATCAATAAATATTTAAAAAAACCGAATAAAAATTTTAAAAATATTTTTTTTTTTAATTTTGAGAATAAATTTGTAACTTATATGTTCCAGATAAGTTTAAAATTAAAAGTAGGTTAGAACCAAAGCTTACTATTTTTAGCTTTATATCTATAGAATTACTTGTCCAACTCTTTGAAATAAATCATGAGAGTAAAAACTGTCATGTTTGATTTTTAAATTGTGTGAATATTATTTGGGATATGATATTCTTAAATCACATAAATGTGAATCACAATGAATGACTTTAAAATTGCAGAAACAAGAATCCTTATCTGTGCTTTTTAATCGTGGAAATACTAATCACAATGCTTGATTTGTGATTGGTACTTCCAATCGTCTCAATAATAGAGACGATTGAGTGTGCTTAATAGTGTGCTTAAAATCATGTGACTATGAATCATGATATTTGTCCTTTAAATCGCAATGTATGTTTTTTAAATCATTCGTCTCACAACCTTTGATTTTTAAATCAAGTGATGTAGAATTTCTAATACTAAAAGAAAACAAATATTTTTAATTCTAAATAGATAAAACTTCTTTAAAAAAAAAACGAGTTAAAAAGCAGCAGAAATTTCAGAAAAAAGTATTAATAAAGGAAACGATGGAAATAAAAATAAAAATATGACCACTGAAGCCAACGTCTTCAGGAGGTACCGGCCTCAATAGCCATAAAAACAAAACCATTTCTAATTGAGGGAGTAGCAAATGCCTAAATTAACTCCCTCAGTACCCCGATGGTTTTGTATAGAAGTCCAGGAAAAAACATGAAAAACAAATAACAAATTAAGAAAAGAAACTCAAACAAAATCAGAAAAATAAAAACTCACTTAATCACAGATCAAACATCGATTTCACAAGCAAGCCAAATGAAAAGAAAACACTAAAAACTAAAGAAAACAACGCCCTCTATTACAATGCGCAGATGGAGAATAAAAAGAAAGAAGTCAAGAGAAAGAAATACATAACAAATTAATAGAATGCTTAACTGGGGCTGCTCAGTTAAGACTTGAATTGCACCCTGTTAAAAGAAAAAAATATAAAAACCTAGAATTCTTCAATCATTTTCTTAATTAAAAAATTAACAGTACAAAAATTAAAAGGAAAATCATTATTACTCAAAATATTTAAAAAATTATTCACAGCCTCCCGAAAACTTTCAACTTTATTGCAAATATTTTCTATCCTAACCAATTGTGAAAAAAGGTGTGTAATTATAATTTTTTAAGTCGAAATCTTAATTGTATTTCTAAATTTGATTGTTATTGTAATGAGAAGGATTTTTCAAAATTTATTGATGATGATTATGGACATGTAATTACGGGAAATTTGGAGATTGTGGGTGATCAAGATTTAATCAGCATTTTAAGTAAAGGTACAAAATTTAGGACCAGAGTTAAAATGAAAAAAGAAGATTTTATTTTATCTATTAAAAATGATCTTGATTTTTTTATTGCAAAAATTTCCAGAAAGTATCATTGGCCCGTTGAGGGTTTTTCCGAGTGGAAAGCTAAAATTATTGAAAGGGTTAAATTTAATTTATTTAATACCAGTTTTTGTTCATTTCCTAAAGGTACTTATATAGATTATGATTTATCTAAGAAAATTAAAAATCTTAAGGATAAATTTATTGTTACTGTTGTAGATAAAGCTTCGAATAATTTCTGTATTATGTGTAAATATTTTTTTCAAAAATTGATTATTAGAGAATATAATGCAAATAATACTTATTTAAAATTGAAAGAAGATAAAAAGTTATTGAAAAAAGAACTATTGCATTTAGTACAAAATTAAAATTTAGGTTAAATAGGATTACATTTCCATATTTATTTCCAATTGTTAAATTTCATAAAAATCCGATTAAATTTAGGTTTATAGCGTGTGGTACTAATAGTTATAATTCTGATATTAGTAAAAGGTTTTTTAGTTTTCTAAAAATTATTTTGCTTAAAATTAAAAAAGAGAAAAATATTGTTATAAATAGTAATGTTGAAGTTTAGGATTATATTAATAGTAATGATATTTCCTGCATTAATACTTTTGATTTCGAAAATTTGTATACAATTATACCACATAGAAAGATTATTGAGATTTGTGAAGGCATTTATGATAGGTATTTATTTAATGAGAAAATTTATAAGTTTAATTGGTTGGATTTATGTAAGTTTAATTTTTTTGAGAATGTTCTTTTTAATGGTTTAGATTTTTATAAACAAATTATTGGAATTCTACAAGGTAATTCCTTTTCTGGGGCTTTTGTCAATATTTTTTTGCATTTTTTCAAAGCTAAATTTCTTGACATAATGAATTTAAAGCTTTTAGATATATTGATGATTTGATTTTGTTTAATTGTGATAATTATAATTTTATTTATAGTATTTATCCTGGAGATTTGGTCTTGAAGAAAACTAATGAGGATTGTTTTAATGTTGAATATTTAGATTTTAAAATTGATATTGTTAACAGTTTTATTAAAATTGGTGTCTTTGATAAAAGAAAAGCTTTTAAATTTAAAGTCATTTTTTTCTGCAACTTTAATGAAACTTGTGTAATAAAATATTTAAAAATTTAGTTTTTTTCACAATTGGTTAGGATCAAAAATATTTGCAATAATGTTGAAAGTTTTCGGGAAGCTGTGAATAATTTTTTAAATAATTTGAGTAATAATGATTTTCCTTTTAATTTTTGTAATGTTAATTTTTTAATTAAAAAAATGATTGAAGAATTCTAAGCTTTTATATTTTTTTCTTTTAACAGGGCGCAATTCAAGTCTTAACTGAGCAGCCCCAGTTAAGACTATTAATTTGTTACGTATTTCTTTCTCTAGACTTCTTTCTTTTTATTCTCCATCCGTGCATTGTAATAGAGGGCGTTGTTTTCTTTAGTTTTTAGTGTTTTCTTTTCATTCGGCTTGCTTGTGAAATCGATGTTTGATCTGTGACTAAGTGAGTTTTGATTTTTCTGATGATTTTGTTTCAGTTTCCTTTCTTAATTTGTTATTTGTTTTTCATGTTTTTTCCTGGACTTCTACACAAAACCATCGGGGTACTGAGGGAGTTAATTTAGGCATTTGCTTCTCCCTCAATTAGAAATGGTTTTGTTTTTATGGCTATTGAGGCCGGTACCTCCTGAAGACGTCGGCTTCGGTGGTCATATTTTTATTTTTATTTCCTTCGTTTCCTTTAGTAGAATTTCTAATGTCACACTTAGCGATAAAACCGGCTGAATAAGAATCGCGATACTTGATTTTTAAATCAAGTGATGTAGAATTTCTAATGTCACACTTAGCGATAAAACTGGCTGAATAAGAATTGCGATACTTAAAATTAAAATCTCATGAAAGTGAATCCTGATTTGTAATTTTAATACTGCATAAATTCAAATTGTAATGTTATTTGTATGTCTGATGTGGACAATGTGGGGTAGCAAAAATCGCATACATGACTCGAAAAAACTAAGATGAATTTATGATGTGTAGTTTAACTAGTTAAAAAAGAAAAATAAGATTTGATAAACTTGTGAAATAATGAAACGTAAATCACGTGAAAATGAATCGTAAACCGCATTGTCAATTTCATATATTACATCAAAATAAATATTTATAAGCAAATTGTATTTCAATGCAAATCTGAAGAATTAAATTTTATTAATTAATGAAAAGTGAGAGAGAGGCCGATAAAAAAAACACTAACTGATAAAAAAATTTACTTGGGAGGCTAAATATTCCATCTCAAAATTTAGCCACATGAAAAACAAAATTTCATACACTAAAACACTTTCATGTACAAAATAGAAATACATACTTGGCCAGTCCGACACACATGAATGAACATTATTATATATGCGTGAGCAGCTGCCATGTAATGTAACAACGGAGTACTTTGGGCACTAAGTGTGGCATCATTCACATTAGGAGCATTTATCAGTTCTTGTAAGAGAACACTACCCCCAGGGGGTTCTAAAGGTCGATGTAAGTGTTCTAAGCTCTGTAATACTTCATTTAAATGCAGCAAACCTTGCTTTAAAACTTGAGGCTCATGGGCGAGATTCTAAAATGTTAATCACAGCATTAAAATTGAAGCATAGATTTCACAAAACTGCTTAAGCAAAATAATTTAAAAACATAATAGAAATGTAAAAGTAAAAATTAAAATAGAAAAAAAAATTGAATGAATAATTAAGGATTTTCCCAATTATATTAAATAAGTAGCAGGTACAGGAAAATCACAAAATTTACGACCTTTTATATACAGCAATATTTAATTAGAAATGTTTTTTTGTTTAATAAGCAACAAAACTTGTTTTTTGAAAAAGGTAGTTACTATGCATAAATCATACAATGAAGAACTTACAATATTGCAACCAATCATTAATAAAAAGCAATAAAAATGTTAGTTTCGCAACTTTGTTCTAACCATTCACCGAGAAAATTTGTTCCTCTTTTCTCTCTATTATATTGTTTGTAAAAAGTACTGACACCTATGCAAAATTTTTAATTAGAAATAGGAATTAGAAAAAAATATTAACTTGCCTTTAACAAATTTTAAAAAAAAATTTTTAGACGCAATACTATCCATGTCTAGTTTAGAGAGTGACCACCATAAGGAGTTATACAACGGTTTATTCATAGAAGACTGTCAGGCATTTTAAAAACTTGTCTTCAATAACAAATGTCACCCTAACCAAAAGGAGAGGTTTCATTGTATTTAAGAAAATTTTGAGAAACCAAAAAATTAGTTTTTGTTGATCTGAATAAATGTAAACTTGTCAAAGGACATTTTAAAAGAAATAATTACAGGGTGGCCACTCAAAACAGATTTCAAATTTCCCTGATTTTTCCAGGTTTTCCAGGTAAAAATCTTAAAATTTCCAGGTTTGTGTTTTTTCCCTTCTTTCTTATAAAGTGTAGGATGTGCACAAGAAAAGTGTCTGTATTATAAAATATCTTATTCAAAATGTCATTTTTTTAAACATATCTTGAAAAAAAATTAATTTTTTTACAAGATATTTTTTGATTATTTTTTAATGTTCTGGTACAACATTAATTTTTTAAAAATTAAGACGTGGAGAAAATAATATGCTTAGCTTGCAGAATATATTGTTTTTATTGAATAATTTGAATTGTTTTTATTGAATTTAATGTGTTACTTTAAGTAGTATTTGCTCAAAGTGAACCTAAAAAATGACAAAATCAGAATAACCAATAAAACCTTGGATAAGTATTGTTTAATATATTTTCATTAAGGAAAAGAAAACCATTTCAGGTGATTATACATCAATTATTTTTAATAATTACAGTGTCTTCCAAAAGTACTCACTCACTTATAACTTATATTGAAATAGGTAATAAAAATTCAATAATTAAAATGAATACTTCACAATGGGTATTTGATAATAAGATGTATAATCTATTCTTAGCAAAACTGCACGGAATATTTTAAAAACAAAGCAAAATCTAATTTTTTAATCAAATAGTAACAAAAATGTTACCCCACGAAAGTCATCATACATTTAAATGTTTTGGATCTCAGAATTAAAATTATCGTCAATTGCTTTTTTTATTTAATTATTTTTCATTAAATTTTTCATTTCTTTATTAGCAATTTAGTATCAAACCTATAATAGCAAAATTATATTTTAATTTTTGCTTGTTAACTCCGTAATATTTTATTTTATCATTCAAAAATGACTTGTAGTCGCAATAAAATAGACCAAATTTGATTATTTGTCTTCATAAGAGGTAAATCAGTAATGAATATGTTAAATTAGTTTACTGTATTCAATTGAACTGTGCAATATGTCATAAAATGCTTAAAAGAAGGACTTCATATCAGAGATTAAAAATATAAATTTTGTGGAAAAATTCATAAATTTGCAATTGAGTATTGTAAAAGTTTCGGTAAAAATTTTAAAAAAATATTCTGCACGAATTGCACCTGACAAAAAAAAAACTAGTTAAACGTATTTTCAACCTTTAAAAGCTATTGTAGATGCTAAAAGAAACTCCACTAAATGTTAATTTAACGAAAAATTAGATTACTAATGGACTGAGTTTTTTCTTTAAAAGTGTATGATGACTTTTGTGGGATAAAGTTTTTGTCACTTTTTGATGATTGATTCCTTAAAAATAAACTTTTCCTTTGTTTTCAAAATATTTCATATTGTCATTTAAAATATTTCAGTTTTGTTAAGATTAGAACACATTTTTTATCATTAAATATACATTCTGAAACATTCATTTTAATTAATGGATAGTCTTATTTCATTGAAAGTCATAAGTGTATCAACACTTTTGTGAATCACTGTAATTACATTTCAATATAAAGCTGTACTGTATACTGCATTATACTGTATTTCATCTTACCAGTGCTTTTTATAAAATTCACTGATCATATTTTCCTTAAACCAATATCTCTAGTCAAATTTTTAAATAATGGTATTTTGAAATAGCATTTTTATTTTAAGAGATTCAGTATAAAAAAATAAATGTCAGAAATGTAAAATTGTCTAATTTGTAGTTCTATACTCTATAGAAGAAAAAAAATAGATAAAATTCCTTAAAATTTATACTTTTTTTGATTTTTTTCTTATTTGAAACTAAAACATTTAAAGAATTCCAATCTAAATACACAGTTCTTTAGTTTAGCATAGTTAATTGTTTTTGTTTGAACTGGAATCTTGTACAGTGTAGAACTAAGTTTCGTTTTCCTTCTCCTGACTAAACACATATGAATAAAAAAAATTATATTTTATGCATATACATCATTTAATATGTTTCCTATACATTCCTTAGTCATTGTCAGCTTTTTTAGGTAAAAAGAGGAATAGTTTTGAAATATCATCTCTGGAATGCAAGCAACATTTTCGAACTTTCGATATTGTGATAACTATACAATTCGAATTTTGAATCAAAAAACTAATATTTACCAACAAAACCATAAAATTTGATATTAATCTATAGTTAGTTCCAAAAAAAAACTTTTTTCAAAATAAAAATATACTACAAAAGGTTAAAATGAAATAGAAAAAATTAGCATTAATGCAAGAATTGTAACAATTTGTCGACAAACATTGCTGTTAGTGATGGGGGGGAAATGCGTGATTGGTTGGTTTGCTGAGAAAAAATAATTTGCAGATTTCTTTGAATGGGAGTTGAAAAGCTTTCAGAAAAAGAGCGCAATATAAAATCCATTATTATTAAATTATAACCAACTAATTTTTAGAGAATTTAATAAAGTTAAAAATACAAAAACATTCTTTCTAAATAGAAAAAAATTACCACTCTATATTGCGAACAAACTTTAATCATTGTGTGAACAGGGACAGAATTTAAAAACCAAATCCTAACCCCGTCTTCCACATCCACCATAATCTTTTCCTTTCCTAAATTGCACAGTCTGCATAGAGATCAAAGGTTTCTACATTTGCATGGGAGAATTTTATGTTGTATTCTAGTTTAACAGGGTTATAATGGCGCAAATTTTGACGAAAGCAAAGTAAGTTGATGATATTTTAACTGTTTGGAGATACATTTCCATCTAAAAAATGTGGGTATAATGGATGAAACAATTCAAATTAAGAAAATTATTAGCAAATAATTTAAATTAGTGAAATTAAAAAAAGTATATAAGAAAAAATTTCCAGCTTTTCTTTAAAATTTCCAGGTTTTTATCCATATTTCCCTGATTTTTCCAGGTTTTTTCCAGTATAAAAAAAATTCCCTGATAATTCAAGGGTTTCAAGGTTTTCCAGGTGGGTGGCCACCCTGAATTATAATAAATGTTAAGATTTATTTGCCTTGAACCTCATTGATGATTTACTATTACTATGACAGATAAGACTGGTTATCTAAGTTTGCTGCTTACTGAAAGCCTGGCTAAATATTTAAGACATAAGACTCATATCAGAGAAAAGAGCAGTTCTACCCCAACTGTTACCAGTTTCTAATTTTTATTTCTCAAAACGGAAAAATTTGTCTACATTTATTCATTTAGGCATATATATTTAAAAATAATCTACATTTAAATTCAGAAATTATTTAAAATTTATTAATTTTAAATGTTTTATTTTTGCTAGATAAATAGCAGTTTGCTTTTTTTTTTTTTTTAAGTAACAATTAGTAAGAAACTAAATTTTAAAGTAAGAATTTTTACTAAAAAAAATAAAAAAAATTATAAAATTTAATTTTTTCTCGTTTATTTTAAAAAATTTCTCTTTAATTATTTATTAGTTTAAATCAAAATGAAGTGTTGTTTTTTTTCCTTAAAGAAATTTAAAGCATTTTAGAAAATTTACAAAAGTTTTTCCTTTAATACTTACTTATTTCAATTACAAATGAAAAGAATATTTTAGGAGGAAAACGCACATTTAATATTTTGTGTAACTATTTTTTAATTATTAAATAGAATGAAATTAGTAAACTTTTAAAAAAAATTTATTCCTTTTAAAAACTTAAAATTAAGCATTTTTAATACAAAAAATAAGTCATTTCTCACAAAAATAATTTTTCAATGTATATACAGTGTAACGTCCCATATCCGGACGTCCCTTTCGGGAAGGGTCGATTTCCCGGACACTTTTTAACAATCAAAATAAACAAGCATTTCTTCATCTTCTCCTCTCCTTTTAAAAAAAAAAAAAAACGAAGTCTTTTGACTGGTTTTTCCCCTTCTCAGCTTCTAGAGATCTATGCATTGAACCCATAAATCAACAGAAAAGAGAACAGAAGATCTACTAAGACCATGAGGCTCCTCCTCTAGAATGCAGGAAAGGGGGGGGTTGCTTTCAAAAGAGCACAGCTGAGTCCCCTCCCTCCCCCTTCTTTCCTATGCAGCTGGCTAGTAAAAGAGGCATTTCCTGGAACCTTTTTATTTGAGTGTCAGGGGAAGAAGAAATACTGTGAAAAAGGGTAAACACAGCAAATGTTAAAGTGGAGGGGGAATCCCCTTTAGTCACACAAGAAAAAATAAAGAGAACCCAATCAGCATGCCACGCCTTTATGCTTGATTGATAGCCAATGATGGGAGAGAAAATAAGAATTTGTCACTACCCCGCCCTCAACTTGAATGACAAGTAAGGAGGAAATGAATTTTTCTTCTCCACCTACCCACCTTATTGAATGACGGGAATTTCCCCTTCTTGCTTGAATCGTTCTAGTTCAAAATGGTGGAGAGCAATTAATATTTTCATAACTGGGAATTTTTTTCGTTTTCTATATTTATTTTTAGAATAGCAATAATTATTTTTTTTCTAATATTTTATCTATGATTGATTAGATATCATTCTAATACTAAAACATTATTGCCCGAAAAATAATGTTTACTTATTTTCTGCTTCTTAGATTCAGATCATTTTAAGCTTTGTTTACCTTGGAGGTCAATTATACGGAAAAATCAAATATACGGACTTCGGAAAGTCCCGCCGATTCCGGATACGCAACTTTCCACTGTATGTTTAAAATTAATAAAAATTTAAGACTTTTCAGTGGTAATAAATAAAATTAAAAATTGTCATCAACTGGGAACTAGGATAGAACCATAGTTCTTTCAAGTATGAGATATCTTAATAATTGGCTCACGTGTGCGCATGCTTTTTAAATTTTAATATTAAATGAACTAAAGCTTTGAGAGGTCATATTTTGACCCTGGGCTGGCAGTGGTTGCAAGATTATACCCTAACCTGTGTTTTTGACCATAAACTTTAATTTATGCTTGGTTTTGTTCAATAGAAAATTTAGAAGTGTGGACTTTCTTTGTTAGAAATAGTTATTTACTTATTTTTAATTTTTAAGTACCATAATAACAAGAATAAATGCTGCTGGGCTTGCATTCTATAAAGTTAAAAATATTTAATAAGCTCTGATTACCCCATGTGGGGCCTTAATGATTTTTTAAAAAAAAAATCTGATGGGGGGGGGGAATGAATGAAAAGAAACTAAAATTCTCAAAATGCTGCAACATTAGTTTCCATGGAATGAGTAATCTCATCTACCCACCACACCCTGTTAATTTCTTTCACAAAAAAATCTAAAAGAAGGCAAAAATAGTTTTGTTTAACTCCCTTTTATCTATTTTCCCTCCTCCCTTCCCTAACTGTTAATTTTTCCTTCGCGAATTCAGATTGACCTTGGCATAAGTTGTTCACTTATCCACCTGGATGAACCTAACTTTTTTTTTCTCTTTGAAAGTCTCGTTCTTCTTTGATGCATGGACAAATCAGAGAATAAAGAAATTTTTTCCTTCTTCGGAATATAAGCTCTCGCTCCACATAAATGAGAGGAAATATTAAGAAAAGGAGTTGTCAATGTGGAAATCTGTAGTCGGAATTGGGGGCTTAATCCTTTCCAGTGGACTCATTCTATGTGTTTTGTTTAAAACCTGTATCAGTACCCCTTTTTTTCTAAAGTGGGTAGTCCTTAAGCTCCTCTAGTAGAAACTTAATTCAGAACTTTTCATCTCTATTACTGCATTCCTTTATCGATCTGTGGTACACATCATTATTTACTTAAAGCGTATCTTGGCAAACTTTTCATTTGAATTTTACTTAATTCAACTTTTAATTCTTTACAACGACACCTAAGCGCCATAGAAGTTATAGTGCTTGTTTTAAACTTCAAGTTATTGAAAAAGCTGAAGTTATAGAAAATTGTGCTACAACACGTGATTTTGGTATTGATGAACAATGCATTCGTCGTTTGCACTCTGAAAAGTCTACCCTCAAACCATGCCCAAAACTAAAAGGGCAAGGGAAGCGGCATCGCACACTGGCCTGAACTGGGAAAGGTCCTGAAGAAAGAATTTTAAATCAGCGGGAAAAAGGACTTTCCATATATACTATGAAAATTTGTATGCAGTCAAAAAACCAAGCATGAATTGGTACTTCTGATTTATGAAGAGACATCAACTATCAGTTTGACATACTATCAGGCAGAAGCTTCTAGCAGATCGGGAAGATAAGGTAGCATTTCTGCAAATCTTGAGAAAATTGCAGAAAAAAGTTTATAGGACTCGCAGTTAATAAACATGGTTGAAGTTCCGGAGACTTTCGATTGCTGTCCTAATGGACAGCTCACTTGACAGGTGAAAAATCAATTACTTTAGCCACTACAGGCATTGAGAAGACATTGTTCACGTCTTTTCATCATCTACAGCAATCAGCGAAAAGTTAACACTAGTGTTAATTTTCAAAAAAATAAATGCTGCTGGGAACGTTTCCTTTAGATATCATAGTGTGTGATACAATTAAAAGGGCTGGATGTGTGAAGAAAAATGATTAAGTGTTTGAAGAAAAGTGATAATCGTTCAAACATACCGATTTTATGTAAGTTTTTATTGACAGTAACAAGCTTTTAAAATTTTAACCCAATTTAGAAAAACTTAAGGAGCTATGCCATTCTATAAATTTATAAGACAGTGAATCCTTTTATTGTTCCATTTATTCTTTGAGGCTTAACAGGGTGCGTAGCCAAATTATTCAACAAAAAATAAGCACCTTTTAAGTACTTTTCCAGCACTCAAAAAATATTTTTAAGCACTTTAAAATAATATAATTAGGCAGGATTGGAAAGTTTTTGATAGTTGATGGTTTTACCTGGTTTTAACCGTCATGTCAAAAAAAAAAATCTTTTGGCATTGTTTTAGAAAATTGTCAAAAATTATGAAATTTAGAATCATGTAAAACGAATGGCGTTTTCATATGCTAGGGACTGACAATACGCCAAAATAGATTAGGGTTAAATCAATTGTGAAAACGTTGAATAGAACAATGTGAACTGCGTCTGTTTGCCTAATCCGTAGCGAAAATTAACATGGTAAGGGAAAAATCTCATTTTGAAAAAGAGAAAATTAAAAACTTTTTAAAAACATCCAATGAAAAAACCCTTTAAGGGCTTTTAAAAAACGAAAATTAAGCACTTTTTAAAAACGCTACGCACCATGTTCAAGAATAAGAAATAGAGATTTATGTCTTTATTTCAATCCAAAAAAAATTTGACGAAAAACTAGTTTCCTGGCAATATATCAAAATAAAACTTATGCATCATGAGCACAAGCATCTTTTTAAAAAGTCTGTTGTTACAACTCGTGTGTCGCAACAGAAAAGTTCCTAAGAGCATAACTTTTTCATACTCTAGAATAGCTTTACACTTTAATAACTAAAACAAACCCGTCTTGTCTGAATAGAACATTTATATAATATTAACTTTTATGGCAATGATTTTCTTAGATTTTATTAAATTTAAAAGCACCACCAGTTGAGCTTCAGTAATAATGTTAATCATATTCCTTTTAATAATTTATCGAGAAAAAAATTACCAATATAGATTTGCAGACACTAGAAACTGCTTGGCAAGTAGGCGTTATAGGGAAATCAATTGGTAAATTTGGCAAGCCTAAAATTGCCATTAATGGAACCAATCCTTTTTGTCTCACAAATTCTCGACAATGGTCATCAGTGGAATTGTTACTCAACACTGCATCAACAAATCTCATCTGGAAAAAAATTATTAGCTCTGTACTCAAATTGCAAAACATGAAATGAATCGTCACAAAACATGTAATGAACAATGTAGCAAAGCTAACTTAAAATGGAAAAAAAGGCAAAATCTATAAGAACTACATTATAGAAATATTTGCATTCTTTAAGAATCCAAGTATCTCAGTAATTGTATGCATAATTATTCATTTTTAATGAAATAAATTGAGTTAAAGAAAAGATAAAGTAAGAAATAACTACTTAAAACAATAACATTCAGCAATTACATCAATTATAATTATTGAAGTTCAATTCAAGTTAACATTAAGATTTATTGTAATTATTGATCATCATGGAGACAAAGAATTTTTTTCTTTTCTGATTTGTATTTCTTTTTACTCCAAAGTATGCATGAAATTAGAGACAACCTCTTTTTTCTGATACAGCTATTTGCATATTTAACCTAAGAAAACTAAGAATAAATGTATGAAGTCTTTGAATATCAGAAATTTGAGTTTCTTGTGACCAACTGCAGTAAAAAACCAACAAGAAATTGTTGATTACAATACCTTTTAAGCAAATTTCCCCGTAAAACATTGCCTTCAATTATAAATTTTAACCATCTCAATTATCCACTCAATTCGATTTTACTTCAAAGTAAAAAAAAAGGGAGAGACAAATTTAGCATATTTTTTTCCTTATGAATTTAAATTACTAGCAAAACATCCAATCATAATTAGTGCCATACTGCCTTGCCTCAGAAATTAGCCTTATCAAATATTTTAATAAGAAGTTTTTTTTAAAAAATAAGGAAAAGTGCACTACTATTGAAATAAGCAAGCTTTTAAGCAGACATGCCAACTTTTCAAACTGCTTGTCAGGAGCAGCCACAAGGAGATAATCGAAATAGCGCAACAAATCGTGATTAATACCAGTTGTGAAATACAGTTTATAAATAGTGAAACTTAAACATAAAACTATTACATTATACAATACAATACAAAAATAAAATATTAAAAAAATAATTAATTATTCATTGAAAGATAATAAAATAACTAACTTGGTTAAAAAAAGTCCCCCCCCAAAAAAAAATTCCATTAAAAACAAAACCATGTAAATTTTCTCAGATTAATAGTTTTTCAGATAATAAAATTTAACATAAATTGTTATTTTACGTTTTAATTGACGTTTTGAACTTATTTTAAAAAAATAAAAAATATCAACTAAAAAATCCTCTAAGCTAACAAATATTGCCTAAGAAGCTTTTTTGGCAGCCAAAAATTTATCAGGTGACAATGTTAATCAGGTGAGATTAACTTTGGATTTTTTTCCAAAATGAACTTTACAACATCTTTATCGGCCCCAATCATTGAAGATGCATTATCAGATGAAAAAGCTATGCAATTATCCAATATCCTTCATCGATTACTCTAAACCAGGGGTTTCCAACTTAGATGAGGACGAGGGCCACAATTAACATCACAAATCATACGGTGGGCCGCAATTTTAACAAAATTTTATGTAGGACTCTTTCATGTTTGAAGGAACATTAAATATTACTGTCAGATTTTTATATCAAGTTGTACAAAATAAAAATATTGAATTACAAATTAAAATAAGAAGTAGATTTTTAAAAATATTTAATTGCATATTTAAAAAGTCGGGCTACAATAACTTTAATGTGCACCTATGAATTAAACAATTAATGTGCAACAGATATCTATTTGTTAAGACTTAAAACTTGGTGTAAACAGGGATGAGATTAGCCAAAACGCAAAAAAGCTGAATTTCCACGATAGTAAATTTTACGCAAGCGCAACCCTTTAATAATAAATTCCAGAGAATTTAAGGTAATAAATAATGCGTTGACATACAATTGTGTACTAATCTATTATTATAAAAACGATTACATTGATACTTAACATTTAGTGGGGAAAAAATTACAAATTGAAAAAATAAGGCTGGAAATTATATTTTTCCTCAGTTCACAAAAGAGACAATTACTACTTGAAAAACTACCTGGTTTAGCAAATTAAAACTACTGAGAATATAAATTAATATTTCATTTCTTTTAATAAATACTGTTATGTGATTTATAGCAAATATATCAGTAATATTACTTTTTAAATTATATTGGGAAAGAGCCTCATTTCCATTCCTAGCAATTTGGTTAATGCACAAATTGGAATGAGCACCATAGCTAAGAGCAATAGCAGAAGAAACTCTAGACATTTCCTCCAGGATGATAATATGGTCCAAAAATCCCTGACCTGAACCTCCATATTTTTCTAAAATCAATTAATTTAAATGAACAAATTTAAAAAAAAAATGATACATTCAATTGTGCCTCATAAATTTACTTTAATGCTTACCAGGTACTGTTATTCCATGAAATCCTAAGCTTCCCAGCTTTTGAAAAAATTCCTGATAAATAGTTCGGAATTTTAGTGAATAGATAAATCAACCAAAATAATTACAAAAATATTAAATAAACATATTTATTCATTACAAACTTAACAATCATAATCAATCAATGTAAGTATAAAGCAGCTATAAAATTGTTCTAAAAGTAGTGAACATTTTCTTAATTATAACAATATTTAACAAATCAAAGAAATTAAAAATTTAGTTTTTCAAATATATCTAAGTAATTAATGTAAAATAAATAATTATCTAATGCAATCTAGATAGAATTTTTAGAAATTACTAATTACAGTATTTACATTATTTATGCTCAATTTATAAATTTATGTTGAAGTGCATATAAATGAAAATCCATTATAAGTAATTAACTTTTTTCTAAATTACTTTTTAAGAATACATATAACAGAAGTTATTGTTATCATTATTTTATTATTTTTTTTAAATAGCTAACGAAACACATCTGTTCACTTTTTTTCCTTTCTGGGACAAATTTGAATTCCAATGAAAGAACATTTTGAGNAAAATCATGTGAATAAGAATCGAGATATTAGCAGATTCCAGGCTTGGGACCTATAAAAGGCTTGTCAGAAGCAGCGTCGTTTGAACTATGAAAATCGGATCTATCTGGAGGGCGGGTAAAAAATTCGGAAAATCTTATCTGCTGCGTGTAAAAGGGGAGAAAATAGGTAAAATAAGTAAAAATGAGAAAGGATTGGTAGCTATGTAGTTTGAATTTTCTGCTTCTCTTTGAAAATCGGTGAATTTTCTGAAAAAGCGGAATACTTATAAAAAAAATGAAATTTTTAGAAAATCTGAATTTTTGGTAAAAAAGTTGAAATTTAAGAGATAAAAGTGAAAAAAGCGGAAGAATCTCATCCCTGTGTAAAGGTTGGTATTAAAACTTACATAGTAGCGCACAAATTATAAAGTGAGAAAATTGAGGTTTGTCTGCTGCAACCACCAGAGAATAGATATTTACATTTAAAATTGACAAATGTGACTAATATTTTCACCCAAAATGAGTGGTTTCAGAAAGTTAAATCGGAGAATTTCTTCGAGAAAATTTATGATACACACATGCTAAATTATATTCACAAAATACAAAAAAATGAAATAAAAAAAGAGCAACATACACGATTATTTTCGTATTTGAATAAATATTTTCTTGGATGCAAAACGTGAGAAATAAATTTTTCGGCACCGTTGATATGTTAAATTTCACAGAAACGAAGAAACTAGGTTTTTATTAACGAGAAAAGTATTTTGAACCCATACATATTTTTTACGAAAATTGTCGGCAAAAATGGCAACTAATATATTTTAGTTCGCGGGCCGCCAGTTGGAAACCACTGCTCTAAACATATTTTTCCCAGTAGCATCACCATCTAACCTAGGCAAACTCAATAGACGGGGGTGTAATTTTTTGAACTGATTCATCAAAAAAAACAATCACAACAGGCAAAATGTTTTCAGTATTTGTATTGCTACCATCAGTAGCCAGGGCAAACTTGGAAATTTTCAAAACTTCTTTTAATTCGCTGGTTGTAACTTCTGCCAGGCAATTGATAATTGCTCCCGTCTTTGTTCGTGCACATCCATATTTTTTAGCCATTTCGGAATCTGGGAACATCTTCTGGAATAGAAGTCTCGCATGATCAGATGCAGATACCGGTAAATTGTGCTCAAGTAAAAATGTTGTAAATAATGTTTCCGCACGAATAACGTTATTATCTGATTTTGTCACAAAATTTGTAATTTTGTTACATTTTGCAGAAGCATTATCAAAATGGCGTTTGCATTCCACATGACGCTTGCAGTCGTTGAAGCCGCCATGTGCGATTGAAAAATCAAGATCGCATATCATGCAATAAACATGATTTTCTGATCGTTTAGACTGTTTTAGAACTGCCCATTGTTTAGCATATTCCTCACAGAACGCTTGATTACGGATTCGCTTCGGTGGCATCTTAAAAAATTAGATGTTCTCTAAATTCTGAAGCAAACGCACGCCAGGATAGACCGATCACAAAATGTAAACATCGATAACATTGCCAGATCCATAAAAATAAGTTTTGAAGGAAATCGTGCTTATGGCTCGTTTTCGCCCCACGTTAACATCTGCTATGACGTTATATCACGTGACTGTTGCGATTTCAGTGCTCTTGAAAGCATCTTCACGGAAGATCGATCTGCTGTCCCACCCGTTTGCGCATGCGCGTGTTTCCAACGCAAGAGGAACGCCTACATAGTTAGCGATTGCGCAGGTTCTTATCTTAAGTGAGGCGAGTTTTTTTCAGGGTTGTCAAAAAGCGGAGTATTTGAGGATTGAACGGAGATAACGTTGCGAATCGAACAAACTCCGGTCAATCCGGAGCAGTTGGCAGGTCTGTTTTAAGCATTCTTAATTTTGGAATTGCTTTACTTTTTCTGAATTTTACACATCTTTACCATGGCAAGGGGAGTAATTCTAGCCAAAGCCAGTCAATTCAAAATTTAACATTAAGTTTTCATTGCTCTTGAAGTTTAGCAGAAGTTTCATTTCACTCTTAAAAGTCAGCAAAGAAACCTTGCTATATCACATGAACAAGAACTATAGCACAAATGAAAAGAGGGTTGCTAATAAAAAAAAAAGGGAATAAATAGCTCATTAAAGGGATTTTACAGAGATTCTAAATAAATTTTAGAGATCTAATAATTATATTTAATGAATAAATTTGGTTTCTAAAACTCGGTAAAATAGTAATTTTTAATTAGAGAAAGTCTTTAATTTAACAGTTAAAAAATTGCCAGAATTCCATGAAGTTGAAGAAAAATTACATGCTTGAAAAAAGTATATATGTAACAAATGATCTATGCTAGTGTTCATAATGCTCATAAGGAACAAGTTATGAAATACAACAGGAAAAAACTATCAAAAAATGTAACTTATACATGCATGCATAAAAAAAATTAGTACAAACCACATTTAAAATGTAATCTACTAAAGGCACAGCAGTTTTTGCACCGGAATTAAAAATACTGTCCCCAGCACCACGCTCTGTCTGGGATTTTGGTAAAGGTCCTTGAACCGGACTGGCTCCAGTATCTTCCTCATCCTCCTCTTCATCATCAGATGAGCCAGCATCTTTAAGTACTCTTGTCAAAGCTGAAATACCATATTCAGGCTTTGCTGCAGGTCTCGTGCAAATGAACCTTGGATCTCTGCCCATAAGACACAATTCTTCCAAAAGCTATTAAAAATTAATAAATTCTATATGCAAGACAAAACCAAACAAATAGACCCATAAAAATTTAGCCATCATTATTTTTTAGATTCAAAGCTAAATAATCCTTTATATTAGAAAATTTTTAAAAAGTTTTGATAAATATGGAAAAATACCGTTATGATAGCAGCAGTAGCATCAGTTCTTAAACTTGGCTGATGCCTCATTAGCTCATCCACGGCATTTCCTAAATTACTTGCAGCATCACCAATGGGGTCAGAGCTGCGCCGCCTCCGCATGGCAGGTAGATATTCTGGGGATACCAACACTCTAAAGAGCTTCTCAAAGGGTTTATATGCAACAAAAGATTGCAAACCTCTTTTGTTTAAACACAATGCTCCAAATACATTAGGAAGAGATGCCAAAACTTCTCGAGTAGCTGGAACCTAATAATAAAGAACAGAATAGCAAAAAATGTGAAAATTAAAACTTAATTCACTAGCAAGTAAATAAACAAAATCTCACCAACATTGTAAAACGCTGAGGAAAAAAAAATCAAAAGGAACATTAAAATGAAAAAATTTAAGACTTACTTCCTTAACTAAGAGTGCATGAAGAATAACATCAGTTAAGCCTTTATTCTGAAGAGAATGTAATAGTGATGGCTCTTGAAAAATAAATACAGTGACGACATCAGTAGCTGAAAAGAAATAAAATCTGACATTAATAAAATATATATATATTCAAAATAGTAAAAAATATGTATTTAAACAAATTTCGTAATGTGATAAGATTATGTCCAGTCGAACTGCTTTACATACAATTTATTTTTAAAAAATCTATTAGAAGTGTATAGGAAACACTAAATACTTACATTAGACAAATTCTGAAGTTTTCATTTGTAAACACTATAATTTAAGTAGCATTATGAATGGTGGGAAAGTTTCTGAATAAATTTTTATTTACACAAAATATGGAGGAATCATTAAATCTTTTGAAAATACTAAATTTGACATAATATATTTTGATCAAAACAAATTAAATTGTATAAAAACACATTAAAAGATATGTTTTGAAAAATTTATTTTAACATATTATTTAACTCCTTGTGACAAATCAACTTACTGTCTAAAAAGAATAGTTTATGTTATGTTAAATACAACACTAATAACTTTATATGCCAATTTGTTTATTAGTTAAGTTTAAGAGTATAACTTTAAATTCTTGACTTTAAAACATTAAATTTTTTGATCTTAAGACAGCAAGAAATTTAAAAAAGAATTCTTGACATAAATATTGTTTCTTCAGTAGTCAAGAAGATTAGAAAACTTATACACAAAAACATAATATCTGCACAATGTTTTTTTAATGAAAATAAACCATTACATGATATTACTATAATTGGGAAAATTTTAAAAGTTCAAACTTACCTAACAAAAACAATGAGGGACCATAATATTCAGCATTGCTAATAATATGTTTTAAAGAATTTGGCAAAGAACCATCCATTACTAAAAAGAAAAAAATTTTTGCAATGCACACTACAGTAGATAAACAAGAAATACAATAAGACATTTTTATAATAATTATTAATCACAATTATTAACAATTAGCTGTGACATGCTAACTACACATCCTTAGCATTGTTTTTAAAATAATCTGAATGTTCTTATTAGATTACTTAACATATGAGATTAAACTATCCATGAAAATTATTTATCAGCAGTTTTACATGCATTTTGTAAAAAATAATTTCTCTTTCAATAGGCATAAATGCAATAGACTCTTTTTAAATGGCACATTAAAAGACAATTGAATAAATCTGCAAAAAATCTATAAATGAGAGCGAGTAGGCCAGTAGTGTTGCCAGATTGATGTCCAGTAAAGAGCAGGGCATCTAAACAGGTGAAACAAGTCCATCCCTTCTTGGGCATCACACAAGATAAAAAAAAGGACCAGGAACCACATTGATGTGACGTAATTGTTTATTCAGGCAATCCTGTCTAGACTTCAGACAAAACATGGCGACAGATTTTATCCTAGGCCACTGTGGGACATTGAGAATGTGTTTAAGCAGGGATTACATTAGCCAAAAGGCAAAAAAGCTGAATTTCCACGATAGTAAATTTAACGCAAGCGCAACCCTTAATTAATAAATTCCAGACAGTTTAAGGTAAAAAAAAATGCGTTTACATACAATTGTGTACTAATCTATCATTATATTAATGATTACATTGATACTTAACATTCAATGAAAATAAAAATTACCAATTGAAAAAATAAAACTGGAAATTATATTTTTCCTCAGTTCACATGAGAGACAATTATTGCTTGAAAAACTACCTGGTTTAGCAAATTAAAACTACTGAGAATATACATTAATATTTCATTTCTTTTAATAAATACTGTTATGTGATTTATAGTAAATATATCAGTAATATTACTTTTTAAATTATATTGGAAAAAAAAACTTTAACAATGGACCGAATCATTATGTTCATATTATAGTCTAATCTAACTAGAGCCCTCTGAAACATATCAATAACAGTGAAGTAGAAATATATAGTAACTCCTTAACATACAAAAATTGCTATTTTAGTTTGAAAAATTACATGACAATCAGCAACTGTTTAGATAATTGTTTTTTATTTGATAAGAATTTTGCATTTTATAGCATAAATAACAGCAATTATAAATAAAATTTTGATGATGAGTTAATTAACTCTTTTTCCCCAAAAATTTTTTTTTAATTAAATACCTTTTTAAGTGATTGCTTTTGTTTGCTATATCTTTTATGTTTGCTATATTTAGTCGTTAGTCCATCTTCAAACATCTTGTGACAAATCCTATTTTTTCTTCTTTGCAAGCACAGAATGTAAGTTTTGAATATATTCCCTTCCAGTTTCTCTGATGTTGTAACACTTACATATACTAATAATCGTCGTTAGAAAAACAGTCACCTTTATAGTAACTAATTTTAAAAAAAATTTACTTCTTACAAGAATCGCGATAGTTGATCTTAAAATTGCGTGAATATGAATAACAATTATGGATTTTGAAATCACATGAATATGAAACTAGATATACGATTTTGAAAATGAGAAAATACAAACTGGGATATAGAATTTTTAAAACGCGTAAATACAAATCACGATTCATAATTTTTAGATCGCGTAAATACGAATCATGATGCGTAATTTTTAGATTGCATAAATAAGAATTATGATGCATAATTTTTAGAATGCGTGAATGCGAATCCCAATGCCTTATTTTAAAATCACGTATAAATACGAAAATCAATGTTTGATATTATAAACCGCATGAGCAAATCAAGACATTGAATTTTAAACTTGCGTGAATACGAATCGCTACATAGGTTTTTAAAAAGGCGTAAATACGAATCACAATATCGGATTTTTAAATCTCGTAAATAAGAATCGCAACGTACAATATTCAAATCGCGTGAATAAGAATCGCAACACGCAAATATGAAAAGCTATGTTTGATATTAAAATCGTGTGAATAAGAATCGAGATATTAGCAGATTCCAGGCTTGGGACCTCTAAAAGGCTTGTCAGAAGCAGCGTCGTTTGAACTACGAAAATCGGATCTATCTGGAGGGCGGGTAAAAAATTCGGAAAATCTTATCTGCTGCGTGTAAAAGGGGAGAAAATAGCTAAAATAAGTAAAAATGAGAAAGGATTGGTAGCTATGTAGTTTGAATTTTCTGTTTCTCTTTGAAAATCGGTGAATTTTCTGAAAAAGCGGAATACTTATAAAAAAAATGAAATTTTTAGAAAATCTGAATTTTTGGTAAAAAAGCTGAAATTTAAGAGATAAAAGTGAAAAAAGCAGAAATCCGCTAAAAAGCGGAAAAATCTCATCCCTGGTTTAAGCCATGGTTTATTGGAATTGGGATTTTTGAATTTTTCACAGAAAGAGCCCTTGAAAATATTATTTATTAGGTATTTGACATTATCAAAAGGTAGTCTCATGCCATAATTGTAAATCATTTTGCCGAATAAACGTTGCCAAGGGTGCACCACGCAACAGATTTTTATTCCTGCTAAAATACCTCAGAATTATTTTTTTTTAAATTTTAACATTTTGCTTACAGCTGGAACAACTAGACTAGAAAAATTGGATCTAAACATGGTCAGCAAAAAGTTAAAATTAAATACATTTTTAGTCTATTTTTCTGGACCAAATGCCAACTTTCATCAGGATGAATTTGTTTTAAACAACTTAAACTGTATAGATAGATGTACATTTGCAGCAAATGTAAAGCAAATCAGACTCAACAAAAATTTTACTCATTAACAGTTTATAGATATAAATCTCAAAACAGATTTTTCTTTATTAAAATTAAAACACTTACAGTGTCTTATACTGTCTGTTAAAGCAGGATCTTGAATTGATTTTTTCAAAAAATTAAGCATTGACTTTAGTAGAGCAGCTCTTTGAGGAAAGCACTGAACACCTGAAAAATGGATATCAATTGAATAAAAAAAAGTAATTTTCAAAATTTAAAATATATTTCATTTACATACAATCTGACCAGATTTTAAGGAACTTTGAATTACTGAATTTCCCAATTTTAACAAATTATCTTTTTCCCCAATTAGAATGAAATAAAAAAAAACTCTTAACAAATAAAACTCAAATTAACAAATGACTTCAACAGCTTAAAAAAAAATTCTTTTACCAGACATGCCAACATTCAGTAAGGCCCATCAGGAGCAATAATTATGATTGACAATGATAAGCAGATCTTAACACAAAACAATATTCTACACTCAAAGTTATCCATATTAAAAAAATATTAAACTCATATATTTCAATATTTTTTTTGCATTCAAAAATATTAAGAAATGCTCTATAAATAAAATTACAAAAATAAGACAAAGAACAAAAGATTAAAGAGATAATTTTAATTGACACTATTGAACAGCAACCACTGACAAAATTTAAACTAAAAAAAAATTATTAAAAGTGTGTATTTCAAAAATAGTTATAATAAAACACAATAAGTCATTAAATTAAGCATACCTATTATTAACATTTTGAAAGAAAAAAAGTAAAACTTCTGAAATATCAGATTACAAACTAACTCAAAATTAATTAAGAGCCACATATACAACTACCTAAAACTGAGTTTGACACATTACAAGTTTTAATAAAGCTAATATAAATACTGAATCAATAATTTTTTTAAAAAAAGAATTCAATTCCTTAAAATTATGATTTACATACGAAAATCAGACAACTAACAAGTAAATTATAACTACCAGAAATTAGAAATGAACACATACAGAGACCATTTAATTATAAAAATTTTGTTCTTCACAAATTGGAAAAAATAAGACATTAATACAAGCATACTTATAAACAAAATGAAAGAAAAAAGTCTAAATGCTGCAAAAATATTAAATGACAAATTAGCCTCAAGAGTAATTAAGAACCTTATATAAAATTACATTACTTAAAGCTGCGCTCCTCAATATATTAAAAACTTCAGTAAATGCTAAATATTGAAAATTAAATGATCTCAAAAAGTTAAAATCCTGATTTAAAAATTAAAATCAGATGACTTAAAACTACAACTCCGGTCATATTCTTCTTTAAGACAAGCACTTCTTTAGTACATTTAGAACTTTTAGTTTTTATTTAATTCACTTCAGAAAATTGTTGTTTAAAGCAAAAAGAGTTATAAATAAAAAATTTGCATTTTTGAGCCAAATTAACTCTGAATTCATAGTGAATTTTCTTTGCCACACTAAGCATTCTTTCACAAGCAGCATTCATGTGAGAAGATTTTTTTAAACATTTGTGATCTGTTAAATAATTTATGAAAAAAAAAATTTTTTTCGATGGGCAAAACTTTATTCTAATTTAATAAGCACACTAAACACACTAAAAAAGTTGTTGAAAAGACAAAAGTAGTTAACGAAAAAGAAAATTCGATGAGAAGAATAAACTATGATTATTAATGTAGCTGAATAATAGTGTTTGAAAAGAACACAAGCTTTGTTTCCCTTTAAATTATAAATGTTATCAACAAAAAAATCTACTCAATTCTGTTTCTTGCTTCATATTATTATTATGAAATCTAAATTATTTGTGTTTGGAATTTGAAGCTCATTTTTAAAATGTACTTTTATCTGATTAATTGTATTGCCAATTCTTCACATCAAATGGAATAAAAAGGAGAAAAACAAGTTTTTATTTAGTTTCAATTATAGTCTGCTTAATTCGATTACTTTTTAAGTATACAGTGTGACGTCCCATATCCGAACGCCCATTTTCCGGAAGGGTCGATTTTACCGGACACTTTTTAACAATCAAAATAAACGAACATCTTTTGACACGTTTTCTCCTCCTCTAGCTACTAGCGTTTTATGCATTGAACCCATAAATCACCAGAAAGGGGAAGAGAAGAAATACCAAGACCGTGAGTGACCGTTAGTGACGCTCCTCCTCTGGAATGCACATAAAGAGAGATTTGTTTTCAAAAAAGCGCAACTGAGTCCCCCTCCTTCCCATGCAGCTAGCTAGTAAAAGAGGCATTTCCTAGAACTTTTTTAATAGAGTGTAAGGGAAAGGAGAAATGTTGTGGAAAAGGGTAAACGCAGCGATCCTTAACGTGGAGGGGGAGTCAAAATGCAACATTTGAATAGGTCTAAACATTTCCTTTCAACTTGCTCCCTGACATGCAAATGATAACAATCCTCCCCCTCTTAAACCAGGTGAAATTAATATGCCCCTACTTAACATTGTTTTAACAACCACTAACCAGATTCTTTCAGTTCCACAAGAAAAGATAAAGAGAACCCTATCAGCATGCCGCACCTTTATGCTTGATTGATAGCTAACGATGGGAGAGATAATAAGAATTTGTCACTTCCCCGCCCTCAACTTGAATGATGAATTTTTCTCCTCCACCTACCCACCTTAATGAATTATGGGAATTTCGGCTTCTTGCTTGATAAGTGTCAAATTTTTTTAGTTTTCTATATTTAAAGCAATAATTTTTTTTTTCAAATATTTTGTTTTTGATGATTAGATATCATTCTAATACTAAAACATTATTGCCCGAAAAATAATGTTTATTTATTTTTTGCTTCTTAGATTCAGTTAGATCATTTTAAGCTTTGTTTACCTTGGAGATCTTTTATACGGAAAAATCTATTATCCGGACTTCCGGAAATCCCATCGATACGAGATCGAATACAAGACTTTTCCCTGTATTTCATAATACTAAACATTTCTCAGTTAATTAAACATCATTTGGCCAACAAGTAAATGTTACTGTATGAAATTGGCTCTAGTTATTGTCTATTTGTTGTATATTTATTTATTGATTAATGTATGTTCTGGTGTTAACTTTAAAAACCTATTACCTGGAAAAATTTATTTTCTGAATTTATTAAAGTCTCGATAAGGGACTTTCCGTTGTATTACTTCTGAACCCTAATATTACAAATAACTTTGATATAACAATAAAACTTTTGATCCTGGAAAATTCCTTAAATTGAGGTTCAGATGCAGATTGAAAAACACCTTTTTAAATGATAATTTTGTTAATGTAGAAAGATTTGTTAATGTAGAAAGAAGTTTAAAATCTGCTCATTTCTATTAATCTGATATAATTGTTTACATTTATATGTTTACCTTTTTCTAGACCTCATAACTTTAATACTTTCAAATGTCAAAATAAATAAAATGAATATTTTCTTTAAATCATTTTACTTTACTTTGCTTAATTTCACTTCATAAATATCAGATATAAAAAGCTTTTCTAATAGATATATTGTTTAACAGTGGATCAGAGTTCCTCAAAATAGTGCAATGTTCAGATATATATTTTAAAATAGTAACAAATAAAAGCTTATTTAGAATATGGGAAACTAATTAGGTTCTTACCTTTTCTAATAGGAAATCTTTTAGGCAATCTATCCAGAATACCTTCTTCATTAGTATTTGTGTCTTTTTTACCACCAGATATCCTATTCAAAAAAATAAAGAGTTTTGTCAATTAAATTTGTTAAGAAAAATACAGGTATAATACAGTTTAAACAGGCAATAAAATAACTCTTTTGAATAACAGTCCATAGAGATTTACAACTAAAAGCACATTACATTAAAAAATATTTAACATAGTCTAAAGCCTGAACAAATAAACAGCTATAGCAGAATAAGCTGAAAGAAATTAAAATCTTAACAAAAGAATAATAAATAATTAATTTTACTAATATAAATTATATATGGGTCATTCTCACGAAAACTGTCATTTTTCAGTTCATAAAATCCCAAAAAAGTAAAGTGAATAAAAAGCTCTGAAACTTTTTATATTAATAGAAATATGTAATGGCATTATAAAGAAAGTATATATCCTATAAATTATACTTAATATTTAAATTAATTAATTTTTTAAATAATTAATTTATAATTAATTAATTTATAATAATTAATAATTAATTAATTAATTTAATAAATAAATTAATTAATTTAATAAATTAATTTATTAATTTTTTAATTTATTTTTCAAATTAATTAATAAGTAAATTAATTATTTTCACTATTTAAAAAGTGAGGGAATGACACTAATAGTGAGGGAATGATATTTTATTTTAATACATGTTTTTATCTAAGTTACATCTACCTAAAGTTTGAAAATGATAACATACTAAGTATATCTAATATTTATTATAATTTAGTCTTATATATTTAATAGTTTTTACAGGTTTGGGAAATAAAATTGGCTGGCACGATTGAACAAAAAAAAATTTAATAATATACTCATCTTGAATCATTCCCTCACTTCAGCGTCATTCCCTCACTTTATACACTAGTGAGGGAATGACGAATTCAATAAAATTTAAAAATAACAGTTAGGCCTAATTAATTTCTGAAGTCAATCACATACAATTATATTCATACAAGAAAGCAACATATAATTATCCACTTTCTCGATGAAGTTGTATTTTATTTTACTCTAAAAAATGACATGAGGGAATGACAAATGTAAAAAATTTTACCTGGTTTGATTCATTCAAATTTATTCCACAGCAAAGCTTCTTTAAGTTGAAGATGGAAACATACTGCAATTTTGTTCTATGATGCCAGTTGTTAACTTCTGAAGTTTTTATTAAAATATTTTTATTCTAAGAAGATTGCAGGTGATAAGAACATTGTTGTGAGGGAATGACGCGAAACACTGGGGACAAAGTTTAAAATAGTGCTGTGTTAATATTTTTATCAGAAATTAAATTTAAAATTGATTTTCTGAATTCTATATTTCAGTATTCTGAAATAAAAAACACGAATTTGTAAAAAAAAAAAATTTTTTTTTCAGAAACAGTTTTTTTCTTTTCTTAAATCAGCAGTGGGGACAAGTGAGGGAATGACATATTGGAATTTTTTTCTTCGTAAGCTGTAAAACAAACATAAAATATACTGGGGACATGAAAATGACTGTTTTGTGAGAATGACCCATATATTATATACAGTGAAACCTCCTGTTATGGACATTCCTGCAAAATGGACGCCTCTCAATTAGGACATATTTTTTATTCCCCGGGAATCTTCTATGAATAAACCATTAGGTACAGTCTCCGCAAGGCGGACACTCCCGTAACCGGACGCGGACAGCATTTTACCCCCGAAACATTATTTTCCATCTCTTCAAACCGGACACTACTTTTCTAAATTTGGAAGAAAAAAAACTATTTTTGCTTTAAATTGCAAGAAAAAAATGCAATTTTTCACCATTTTTAAAACATGTAAATTTTTTTACCTTATCCATAACTAAAAGTATATTGTTAAGCTATTTCACTACTGAAGAATCGATCTTTCTCCTGTCTCTTTGCTTTATCTTCGCAAAGAAAGGAGAGAAAATGACACTGCTCTCCTGAAATAATTCAACAGTGGCATCTTTTGATCTTTTCATCTGGACCAGACAGGTTATGAGAACCCCTCAAATTGAAATGACATCTTAAATGCTCTCATTGCTTTTTCCCCATTAAAAATGTCTTAAATTTTCTTATCAATTTGAAGACTGTATTTAACACAGCTGGGGTAAAAAAAGTGAACAGAAGTATAATCTTTGAGGTGTTCATATAAATAAAACATTTATTCAGACACATGATAGCTGATCAATTGGGAATAATCAACTCCATAGGTCCTCATGACTTACAGGCAGGCATTGCTTTTTTCTGTGAATCGTGGGAGGTATACTTTCTAAAAGGTATCAACCACGTCAGTATCAAATGATAGGTAGGTGTAAGGGGATGTAAACCTATTTATTGAAACTGACTGAGGACTGGAAGCTCCTATTCGGTATCATATGATTAACTCAAATATCTGTGTTAATAGGAAAATTATATTCATTTATCTGTAGCTACATCTGGAATTATGTATTTATATCAAACTTCTTTATATATTCTTTTTTACCTTTGTTAAGGTTTAAATAAATATCCTTGTAGATAGTTATTGTAGATTATTTAATTATATCTACATCTTTGAAAATATTTTAAAAACAATTTACGATGTTAAACTTCGTCATTAGGATACCCTTCTCGTAAATGAAAAATTTTTTTGGGTCCCAAGAATGTCCGCTTTTAAGAGGTTTTACTGTGTGTATGTATGTGTGTGTATGTATGTGTGTGTGTGTATGTGTGTATATATATGCAATACAAGAATTAAATACTTTTGTATTAATAAAAGAACTAAAACTCTTTCCTTTTCATAAAATGTCTTTGTTAAAGAATAAGCGTAGAGAGATTCTATTTTGGGAATTCAAGGCTGAAAACATACCATTGAAATATAAATAGATTTATATTTCAAAGGAAGAGTTATTTTTAGAATCGTTCCCTTCTTCAATTCCATATAAGGAAGCAGAAATGATTTTCCGTAATGCGTAAGGATACAAGGAATGTACGAAATGTGCCTTTTTACTTCAAATCTATGTTGGTATAAAACGTAAGAACGCATAGTTTTGTGTGTCCTTTTCCTAATTATGTGATCCTGATAAGCTGTTCCGGAATAGTCCGGAGTCTTGTCCACTCCCCCTCCTTTGCGGGAGTGTGGACGTAAACTGTTAGCAACACCAGCCTATATTTAAATAAACCTGTTTAAAACGTCTGATGGCTTATGACTGCAATTATTTCAAGCTAAATACAACACTGATAACAGGATTGGAGCCCTGTTATTACATATATACATATATATGCACACAAATATATACAGTGCACCAAAAAAACACGAACCATCCTGAATAACATTTGAACTAATGATCTGATTTTCACAGTCTATGGGTTTCTTCAATGGGTTGCTAAAATGAGTCCCAAGCACGCGTTGGGGCTTAACACTGGGGATTCTGCACTCGGCTGACTCTCAACCAGAAAATCTGCTCCTGCACCCAAGAATTCCAAGGTAAAAAAAACTGGGATACACACAGACGGCCTTGGCCGCCACCATAGGCTGATGTGTCACTGAATTTAGTTTGACTATATCACATTTTATATTAATCCTATCAATAAAAAAATTATGTAATGCCTTTACAATAAAAACACAAAAGTTTCTAGAATATTAAAAAAACAAGCTCTTTTCTTTCTTAAAACTTTCACAAACACACAAAAACTATAAATGGAAAAATTGAATTTGTTAAAAAATAAGCTATTTCAAGGTGGGTATTTTATTTAGCTAGAGCTACACAATGGGCTATTGTCGACAGTCTGGGAAACATCTCTAAGGATGATACGAAGATATGCCATCACAATGTTGTTTTAAGAAACAATTAGCAATAAATAATTCCAGCTTAAATAAGCTGTTTCAACATGAATTAAGATAACACTCATAAGAGTAAAATTATCCATTACGCCTTATTCAAAACTGTTTTATACTTTGTTTCTGTTTAACAAGCCTTTTCAACCAAAAGTTAAAGAAAAAATAAAAATAATAAACCATATACTCAAACTACAAAATCAATGATTTGGTGGAAAGAGAATTATTGATTATATGCAAAGTAAAAGCGAGTGCTGATTTTTCATTTTGTAAGAATCTTGAGAAAATACTTTGAAGTCCTTAGATTGACAAAAGCAAGAGACTCAACACTGAAAGTCTTCGAGATTTAGTTTGGATTTCATAGCTTATAAGACCTTTAATATCTAGAAATTTTCAGACAAGTATTAGATGCAATTGGTTGCAGCAATTTCTTTTACTAGAAGCAACATTAAATTTTTCTTTTTTTCAGTGATACTTAACCTGCTGAGCATTTGCCATACCTAAAAACATATTTTATCTCTTGTATTTCCTAAGGAAAAACCATTTTCCCTTGAGTTATTCAATAAGAAAGTTGTATATTGCGGAGACATTTCTATACAAATGATCCCAAATATGAAACACTTAATTACTTGCGATTATAAAATTTTTAAAGCATTTTTAGTAAAAATAATTCATAGCAAATAAAAATTCCTGTTGTTTTCAAAAAAGAGTTATAAAAATAAATATAAATTTCCAGACATAAACAGTTAGAGGTGATTTTATGTCAAATCATACAGCTATCCTACCAGCACAAATATTACATAAGATTTTACAAGCAATAAAAAATAAAAATGCAATACAGTGGCTATTGTTTTTCATATAACTAACAATTATTTATAATTATAAAAAATTAATACTTTTCTTCTAACTCCAGGGCAAGTTGAGCACTGTTATATTGAGCTCTCATAAGAAGAGTGCTAAAAAAATCCATGGATGGATCAGTCAACTTTGGATCAATGACAAAAGGTTGGTCTTTCCTACAGACATTAACTTCCACCTTGAAAAAAAATAAGTACTTAAATAGTTGAAATATTTATGCCTTTAACACGTTGCCACAAGTGATGTTTATAATCCATCAATTTTTGGTGATATGTAGGCAAATGACGGCTATAGTCGTGCAGCACATTTTAATTATTGATAAAAAGGAACATTATCAGTATGAAGAGTACTATAATTATTCGGTAATACATCGAAAAAAAGAAATATCATTCAGATCTTTTTAAAATAGAAAAGTGGAACTAACTTTTTTTCAAAAAAAAAAAAAAAGATAGTGGCATTTTTTGGTAGTACGCAGTCAACTTAAGTGATTCTCACTACACAGAACCTTTTTGCTTTATTTATCCTGTATCCTAAAAACACAACCAAACCGAAACTGAAGTATGGCAGCCCTTCTTGAAAGTCATAGCAGGATATGATTAATGTCCCAGGTATGTTTGTTTTCATAAGATTTTGTAATTCAGTTGATACTATAGAGTTGAAATAGTATGAAATAGTACTGAATAGTCTTCAAAAACATTTACTCTCCTTTTTATTCTCAAAGTAAGAACGATAGTTTGTTTTTTGCTTAAAAGAGTGATATGTATTACATAAGATGCAAGTATACTATTTTAATTTAAAATTTATTTTAATTAGTTATGTGACACAGTTATATGAATAAAATTTAAATGAATATGAATAAATCTTGAATGTGATTAAATTTCTGTCACTCTTTTGCAAGAAAAGTGAAAAACACTAAGTTTCATTTTTCAAACTGACTTGTATTGTTAATGAAGGTCTCAGTTCTTAACATATTTATAATGATAACACACAAAAATTGATATTTCAATTGAAATCTACAAATCTTACAGAAACGGATATTTTACTGAAATTCATTTAGAATTGCTTTCATTTTCTCACACAATAAAGTTAACATCACTCTCATTTGTATTAACATTCCTATTTTTGAATTTTTTTAAATTCATAAATAGCATATTATTCATTGCTTTAACCATTTCTAGGAAATTTTTTTAACCTTAAACAAAAATGTATAAATTAAACTTTTAAGCTCAGATTAATGTAAATTAATCTGAGCTGGCATTCATATCAGCTGGAAAAAATTAAATGCCTCTTATTATGCTGCCCTCTGTCAGCAAAAAAAGAATCCATGCCAGGCATATGATTAATATATTCTCATAAAGTGACAGGAAAATGTTAAAAATACAGAAGGAAATGCGACTAGCTATTTATTTTTCTAATATTATACTGGATTTCAATAGCTTTGTAAGGCTAACAACTTTGTAAAAAAAATGCCATTTCTGAGCAAAGATTTTTCTATTACAAAAGTACATTTTGGCCCAGATTTGAAACAAATTCAAGTAAATAAGCTGTTTCTGTGGGGTAGTGTGCAAGTTGAATCTTCCGGTGTATATGAGCAACATATGCAGCACTTGAAATCCTACTTAAGTGTGGTATATTTAAAAAGTGATTCTTATAAAAATATATATTGAATTTTTGTATTGAGATTTTTCTGAGTGACTTGAATTTAAATTTACAAAGAAAGTCAAGCATAAAATAAAACAAGGTAACTAGTTTTAGATCTTTAAAAAACTTAAATTAAAAGAAACATATGCTGATATGTATAACTATCAACAAATAGTTTTATAAAAATTTAATACTTAAAAAATTAGTGATTATCCAAGAAATTTTGTCAAAATTAGGTAGCAGCAAAAAAGTTGAAACGAGTTACATAAATCAATAAATTACCTACAGAAAGTTTTCTATTTGAGAATTTGGGTTCCCACGAAGGTTTTCATTTTATCAAAATCAGGTTACAATATATAACTTTCTTAGAAACTAATTTCGAAAAATGATCTTAAATTTCATCAAAAACACAACAAAACTTATGATACAACTTCATTTTAGTAATTATTGTAACAAAAATTGAAGGAAGAAAAATTTTGGTGAAAAAATTATTAGCAATATGAATTATATGTTTTTGAAAAACAAATTAAGCGTACCTCTAAACGTTGAATAAAACTAGCTAATCCACCATGAGCTTGAAAAGCCAGCATATCCAAATTCGTGATTAAGTCAATAACACGCACAGCTCTGGTAACAAACTATAATACAAATTTATCAGAATTAATGGAAAAAATAAATCATGCAAATTATGCAGAAAATAATACTCCAACTTACAGTAATGTGTTCTGTTTCTGTACTTTGCCAGTTTATAACTTTAAGCAAAGCCTCCATCATACCACACGACACTAGAGCATCACCACCTGGAATTAAATTTTGTTAAAAGCAAAAAAAGGATATAATATTAAAAATAACAAGCAGAATAAATTTTTACAATCCTCTACAGCTACTATGCAATGAAATAATTTTTTAAGGCTCCTATTGATGTTTTACTTTAACATAAAATTAGAATTTCCTCTATAATTATGCCTGAAAATAGTTACTTTAGTAGTCTTGAATATAGGAAATAGTAGCTCAATAGTCTACTCAGTGGAATAAATAAAATGTTTTTTCCTCCATGTAATAACTTTTTCGAATAAACATTAAAATTAACCAACTCAACCATACATTACAATAACTTAAAACATAGCTTGCTAAGCCTTGTATTTACAAGTAAATCAAATTACATTTCTTAGACATAAACCATTTTTAAAAAAAAAATGAGTCTAGAAAAAATCAATGTTAAGAATTGTTGATCGCCGAACCATCCTTTTCTTTTCTCTAAGGCAGAAACTGATTATAGGGAAGCAACCCAAAAGAGGTAGCTTATCTATTATCTGTTCTACTCGCACTTTGTTGTTCTTCACTTAACAAGGACATCAAAAAAACTGTTTCCTTAGATCACAAAAAGTATAAAAAAAAACTTTCTTTTAGGGGGGAATTAAAAAGAACAGAACCTTTTTTTTTTAAATAAGCTACTTCTTCTTAGAAAAGAAAAAATGGAATTCGAAAAAACAGCAAAAAAGTTATACCCGATTCCCAATATATGAGAAAATAGATGGCTTAATCTTTAAAAACTTTTTTTTTTAATTATTATTTTTAGACGCTCTTTTTTTCTCAAAAAAGTCAACAGTTACCTAGTGTCCAAAAAAGTCACAAACAATAGCTTTTGAGTCACAAACAAATCGTCAGTGACAATCCTATACATGTTGCCTAATCCTATACAATACCTAAGTATGTTGATAAAACATTTAAAGAAAAGCCTGAGCAGACCTACATATAATTTTAAAAATATAACAAATTATATAACAGATTATCAATTTCAATGCTATTAAACTTTAAAAAACAATAGGCTGCCATGAGGTAAAAAATATTTGACTAACTTTTCTAATTGAAAAAAAAACTATTTACACAAAGTTATATATTTAAACGACAATCCTAATGATTTACTTAAAAAACATTCATTAAAATTTCAATATTGCTCCACTTTTCATAATATTATAACTATACAAATTACTTTCCACAAATAATTTATTTCAATTTAGTCTCTGCACTTAATTAAAAATTCATATAACTTTCTGATGAATCGAGGAACAAATGTTTAATATTATTATGCAGCTTCCGTAAAAAAAAAATTAAGAAAAGGAAAAGTTTCGAAAAATAAATTACTAATTAGGTAATAACTCAACGTAATTTTATAACAATGTTAGTAAATTTAAGTTTAGATACTTATTTTGAAATTGAATGCATATTAAGAATAAAAATCTGTTTTGAATATACTAACATATATATAAACCTATAGCTTTTGTTTCAAGTTATAAGTGTTTAAGTGCCCTTCACATGGAAATTATTATCTCAAAAAAGATCACACGATTTTTTACAAAAGAATAATTATTAAGAAGTGATAAGATGTACTGAGAGAATTATATAGAAAAATAAAATATTGATAATAAACATTAAACTTGCCACTTTCGTAACTTGCAAGATGATACAAGAAAGAAAATAAGGCAGTTGCAAATGGCAGTGGAAATGCTTCTGATTCAGGATCTGAAAGAAAACCAGAAATTTTATAAAAACTTAAAACTATAAAAATATGCTCGAGGTAAAATATACACAATAAATGAATTAGTATATAGGAATAATAAAATAAACAGATTTTTTCTGAAAAATACTAATTACCCATTGGTCACATTTATGTTAACACATTGAAAGTAAATTTCACAATTATTCTTTTTTTCGTAATATCAGAATTCAAGAAAAAAAGCTTCTAAAAAAAGATTTCTTAGAGTAAGTAATACAATAAGTTCAATTTTAAATATTATATTCAACAATTGTAACGTTTGTATTTGTTTTTCAACATAAAAAATATTAAAGAGTGGGATGAAGAAAATTACAAATATTGCCATACCACACCCCTTAAACCCTTCACTTTATGCCATTACATTTGTAATACAGATTTTAATACATCTGTATGTCACTGTAAATGGAACAAGTTTCTCATTCATGATGTTGCCTATTTGACTAAAGCCTCCCTGTATTGAAAATTGGTGTTAGGGGTCTCAATGAGAGACAAAATGTGAAACAGGACTAAATATCAAACTGGATTAACGTGTCGAGTCAAAGGGTGCAAAATGACTAACAGTAAAGAAAGGCTACACATGAGACAAATGCAGGTTACAACTTTGCTTTATACAGGGTGCGTAGCCAAATTATTCAACAAAAAATAAGCACCTTTTAAGCACTTTTCAAGCACTCAAAAAATATTTTTAAGCGCATTAAAATAATATCATAATTAGGCAGGGTTGGAAAATTTTTGACAACCAACGGTTTTATCTTGTTTTAACCGTCATGTCAAAAAAAAATTTTGGCATTGTTTTTGACAATTGTCAAAAATTATGAAATTTTGAATCATGTAAAACGAATGGCGTTTTCATACGCCATTCGTTTACGGACTGACTATACGCCGAAATAGATTGGGGTTGAATTAATTATGAAAACGCTGAATAGAACAATGTCAACTGTGTCTTTTTGCATAATTCGAAGGGAAAATCAACATAGTAAAGGAAAAATCTCATTTTGAGAAAGAGAAAATTAAGCACTTATTAAAAACACCCAATGAAAAAAGCACCTTTAAGGGCTTTTAAGAAACGAAAATCGAAAATAAGCACCCTTAAGCACTTTTTAAAAATGCTATGCGCCCTGTTCATATAATATAACAGTTTTCATGCATACTGAATTTGATGTGATATATTTAGCATATTCATGATGTTGTAAATGTGAAACATACATATTTGATATTTATAGCAATGAATAAATTTCGAAAACATAACTTATTTTAAAGCCTTTATTCAAAATTTCGAGTAAAAAAATCTTTAATGATAAAATTATGAATAAATTGAAAGGCTAATTTTCCAGTTTACAATTAATGTCTTAATAAGACAATAGATTTGGAAATTATTTCTCACTAAAATCCAACTAACTTTACCAGAAGCTTAATATATTTTTGAAATTTTAGACACATATTGTTGATCTTGATAGATTTTTATCTGCGCACAAACTTTATAATAAAATTCTGTATACAGGTCTATTTAGAAAATTTCGTAAATTGAAGGATATCTCAAAAATAACAAAAGTAAAATATGTAGTTACACACACGTGCAGGAAGACACCTTTAAGAGAGGGAAGATTTGAATAACATGTGTGCAAAAGCTTGCATCAAATTAAAAGATTTGTGATAAATAGGGTAAACCTAAAAACACATGCAAAGGTGGTTCAGATGTGTAAAACAGATACCATGAACAAGAACACACATTATTTAACTCAAAAGAGGCACTGCTAAAATCTAACTTATCAAAATTTAGTAGGTCAGAATGCATCTCTCTAAAAATTTACAAAATTAAACATGTCATTTAATATATTCAATGAAAATACAAAGAATTATATAAATATAAAGAACTATATAAAATACAAAGAACTACTGCTATATAAAATGCTGTCACTTAACTAAAAATGCAGTCACATTTTTGTAAACCTATATTCGATCTATTTTTAAATACAAATGAAATTAAACGATTTCATTAATGTAAGTGATGCTTGCAATGTTTAAATCTTACCGGTAAGGGATTGAATGCAGTTTCTGACAAGAACAGGTAGAAATCCATGATAGGAAGATGCTCCAGTAGTATCAATGATTGCATTCAGTCTAAATAAAACACAATGCAGATTAATAAAAATACACATAATGTATGCTTAAAAAAGGGTAAATTATTTTTCTAACGTAAAATTCAAGGACTTAAAAAATTTTAGGTCAACCATTTTAAGTTTACAAATAAAGAAAATGGACATAGAGTAGAATTACAATCAATAATTTGAATCTTGATTATTTAAGTTTCCCATAAATTCTACTAACTGAAAGAAAAAAAAATCAGTTTAGCATTCAAAGACTCTCTAAATCACATCATGTGAAAAAAAACTATTACAATTGTTTGCAAGCCAGCTTAACCTTAGATAAAAAGGGGTCTGCATCCAAACAGAAAGATGCAATGCAATGGAAGGTGCAATGTTTTTACAACCACACTATAATTCAGCCCATGGATCAAAGTGCTACAATGGTTTAAAAAGGTATAGTTGCAAACTTTTAAATGTCTTCTATAAGCCATGGAAGGTTTTACAATGCTAAAATTTATAACTACTCTATTTCAATTTATTACATTTTATGAATTTGATAATTCTTGTTTTCAATAGTTCCAAGTAGGCCCAGTGTTGTCCACCTCAAATTATCAAGACACTGCTGTAATTAAAAAAATTTATTTTCATAAAACTATAAATGAAAAATCAAATTTATTTTTCACCCTTTTTATATAGTATATTGGAGAAAAAAAATCTAAATCTTAATCTAAAAATTCCACAGAAATTTATGAGCAAACTCATTAATCTCCAACTTTTTTTGTGACATTCATATCTTGCTATATTTGTCATTAAAAAACATCTATAATGTGTTTGAGTATTCAAAAGAGAACTCTATAATTAAGATTTTTTCCTATTTACAAAAAAAATATGTCTTAAGAATTGCAAATCTAGCAAAGTTTCATAATCAGATTTTAAGGCTAGAAAATGTGATATTTTTCCTATTTTAAAATAGTAACTCAGATATACATTGTTTAAATCGAAGATTTTTATTACAAAAATGTCAATATCTATCAATTGGCAAACAAAGAGCTAAGCATGGTTGCTTAAACTTTATTATATTTCTAATTCCTGTAACTTAAATAAGATATAAGTTTTGAAATTTCGAACAGCTTGCCTGTTATTTCTGTGCCTCACTGTGTTGTCTTCTTTCCTTTATTTTATTCAAAAAAAAAATAATAAAAATGCTTAAATGTATGAAATATAGACATTTTGTTAGAATTTTATCAATAAATGTAAAAATATTAAAATTCAAAAAACTACTTACTTTGGATTTCTATCTAAGTGAATAATGGAAGTCAAGGTGCGCAAAGCAGCTGCTTTAATCTCCTACAATATACACAGTATAAGTTAATAAATAACTAAATAATGAACTCCTAAACTGAATATATCCTTATAACAAATAATCAATACTTACTATTAGATTTTGATCTTGTATTTCTAAAACGTCCACTAATTCTTCTATTAAACCATTATATAGAAGAGAATTAACATTATCTGGAACAGCATTACAGTAAACTATAAAAATAAAAAAAAATCTCAAATATTGCTTTAGAAATAGCCAAACATTTGTTTTGTTAATTAGTGAAATTAAAAAAATCCAAATATTGCATCTTAAAGTATATCCACAGATAATTATTTGTAATTAATCAGTCAGAAAAAGTTACTAATCAGAAATACAAACCATCGTAAAAGTTAGCAAACACCAATATTATATTTGTACAAATTGGCATTTCCCATCCTTCCAGTTTCATTAGAAAATTTTAAATTTCAGAATTGAATGGTTATGATTTAAACTTTTAACTACAGTTCTATAAAATTGAATTTCATACTAACTATAATTTACAGTAAAGATTAAAAGTGTTGTACCTTTCTGAACCACAGTTTTAATAATATAATTAAACTCATTCATAGGGAGAATGAAGGAACCCAGGCAATCTGCTCGTTAAATTAGAATGCTTGAGAACACATTGACTGCCATGTCACCCATATTCTGGTGACAGCAAAGTTTCTGATCAGGCTGTGTCACCCGTATTAGGGTGACGCTTATTTGACTACTTACTTGCAAAGGATATTCGTATGTATTTGAAAGGATATTTCACAGGAAGCAACAAAACTATTGAATTGCTATAAAAGTAATACAAATATATTTATTAAGGAAATTATTGTTTCGTGTTCTCTGCTATTTGACTCACTAAGATATAAGTTTTCAATTTTTTTTTTCGAAATTTCAACGAATTAGGGTAAAGATTTTAAGTTATACTCCTCTTTATTCGACTAAGATTCAAACTGATCGTGTAAAGTGGCGAGATGAGAAGCAGATGCGAAGCAACGCACACAAATAAACAGACAGATACCACGTACTGTTTGTCTAAGATAGGTACTCTGCCAGACATTCATCTGGAGTTGTGGCGGTGATTATGGTAACGAGGTATGATAATTTCAAGTAGGGGTGCGGGATCCCTCTTTAAGACTGGTTTTGGCGAGAGAAGAGACCTCTTTCATCGAAGCTACCCTCCCTAAAATGCCCTCTTCTTGTTTCCATAGCACCAGACTGCCGCAGACTTAGTGGCGATCAGAGTACCTATCTTAGACAAACAGTAGAGAGAGATATTTTTGTGACTACCAGATACTAGCATTGAAATATCGGAGGGAGTACTTAGCAGATGCTTTGTAAAGCGATACTCAAGGCCTGAAGGAAATTTCACTGTAAACGCATGTGGCAGTCAACATGTTAAACCAGAGTTTAAAAAATGCAGACCTAGCAACTTCAGAAACTCTAAAAGCTTGAACCTTTTTGGGAAATAATAGATTAAAAAAATAAATTCACAAATTCCTTAAATTTAATTTTAAGTAGCAATTTTACACCTAAAATCACAAAACAATAAGATTGTTTAAAACAAATTGAATAAGTAATTTAGCATTTTTTTAAAATTTTATACAAAAAATATCTGGAACTCTTTCTGATTTGCCATACTACTCAACAAATTCTCCCAAGTTATATTTTTATTATTTATTCTTAATGTGAGTTTCTGTTACATAGCTGAATATTTCCTCAAAGGTCATATTGCTGAGAGGATTGGTAAATATTGCCAGCTTCACTTGGCCGTAGGGAATAGTTTGACTGAACAAGATATAAAATTCACTTGCATAATAACTGATTAAGCGTATCAGGATTTCAAAAAACTCTATAGAAATCTGAAATAGTAGTTGCTGAAACCATACTAATTTACTGAGAAATCAATCAAAAATTAAGTGAGCCTGGTTGATAATTAATAGGCGATTTTTCATGTGCATGATTGTATATTCATTAATCAGAATTTAATTACAAATTGGGATTTTTAAAACTATTTAGAAATTCATGGGTATAACCAGCAAAAAAGTGGTTCGAAAAATAACCTGAATTCACGTCAAAATTGACAAGAGAACTCCTAGATCTAGCATTGGGACAAACTAGCTTTGGTGGAGAACTTTTTGATAGAACTAACCAGCAGAACTTTTTGATAGAGAAAAACCGCAAAAATCTCCCATGGTTAGCCTGACTACGAAGGGATCTAATCGATGATGTCTAATACTGAGGATATTTTACGTTAACACTGTGGTCGGTGCAAGCCGGGAATAGAATTCATATCAACCGGATTCAAACCTGGGTCACCTCACAATTTGCATTTTCCGTAGTCATTAAAATTCCGAATCTTTCAGAGTTTGATTTTTTTTTTTAAAAGGTTCACACTTTTCTGAACATACATTAAATAACCTATTTTTAAAATGTTTGTATAATTTTAAATGTTGGAAATGCATACTTTAAATGTTTAAAGAAATTTTTACATTTGTACAAGTTATATCATAGCACTTAGTTTTTAATTATTTTAAATGTTTTGAAGTTGTGACAGTTAAAAACAATTAGAGCAAATGTAACTGCAGACCTGCCAACCTTTAACCATTCCTAGGATGAATATTTTAAGTTTAACAAATTAAGATAATTAAAATACAATTGTAGGTTAAAATAACTTTATTAATTTGCAAAGAATTTAAACAAACAATCATATGACTAACTTGCATTTATATATACATGATTGATTAATTTATGTGCAGTGATGATCACAATCATTTTAAATAATTTCAAAAATACTCAATAAAATAAAATTTATTAATTACATCACCACTTCAAATATAAAAATGAAATATAAAGGACAATCTATAATGGTTGACAACTCTGTGTAAATGATACCATCAGTTATTTTGACAAAAAATAGTGAAATTGTTAATTTGAATAAAATTATATGCATTCAAAATCTAAAAATGTTAGGTCCATATTATACAGGATTGCCTTTTTATCAGTAGACACGATTTTGACTAGTCAGAAGAAAAATAATTTCTCTCAAAAATAAATAAAAAATAAAAAGTCGAGAAATTGAAGTGATGAGAAAGATCAAAGCATGTCATGGAAAGTTAGGAAAGAATAGAAAGGTGAAGAAATGTTAGAGAGATTAAATGATATATCTAATACAACTAAAGTAATAAAAAAAAAAATTTTTAATTAACATGAGAAGTTATTCTTAGTATACACTAGTGAAATTTTATATAAGAGCGTTGTTTTAAAGAAGAATTACAACTTATTTAAAAATTATAGAAGTTTTAATATCTCTAACTATAAAAAGTGCAGACTCAAGAAATATACTATTACTGCATAATAGAAAAAATAATTACCTAGCACAGAGAGAGCTTGAAGTCTTGCTTGAACGCACAACATTCTTTTTGGATAATCAGAAAAACTATGAGCTAGTCGAATGTGTGTAAATAGTTGCATCTAAAGAAATATACATATATAAATTACTAGATTAGTTAAATAAATTCATTAGAATTGTCAACTAAATGACTATCAGGATTTTATGTAGATTAAAAGCTGTGAGCTGAATTCTAGAAAAAAAAGGCTAATAAATTCTCTAGAACTCGTTAAAAAGTATAAACTAATTCTAAAATTCATTTCAATTTCTGAAAATAAAATTAACACTAATTTTATCTGCTAATATTAAGTGAAATGTAAAAAATTTGATACAATAACCTAATGTTTTAATCTGTGGTGTAATCAACATACTAGATTCAAGTACCAAAGTTATAAACTTGTAAACTTCTATGCATAACGAACTGCCAGGCCTGAAGTGTAACAAACTGAACTGAAATCCAATCGATGAAACATATATATATATATATATACCATTGCAAGAGATTGTTTTTTTTTGGCACTTTGTTTTGTACTTTTTCTTATGGACATAAGAAAATACGTCTTTGATAATAATCTTGGATGATTTTAATTTTGTTGTTAAAATGATACTAAAGTTTAAATTTATTATGCTGTCTATTAATCTCATATATATGTTTAATCTATTGAGTTTCCTATTTTGGATTACACTCAAGACTTTATTATCAGTCCACCTGGAAGCGATCAATATTCCGTTTTGAAGAATAGACTCATAAAAACCTATGCAGAGAAAACTTCTAAATTGCGAACTTTATTACAAGGTGTTGATCTATGTGACCAGCGTCTATCTTTACTGTTGAAACGAATGAGAGATTTAGCAGGAAAGCATTTCAGAGATGATATACTAAAATCACTGTGGTTAGATAAACTACCTGCTAATGAAAAGTTAGTGTTGGTGGCTTCTAATGAACAGTTAAATAACTTGGCAACTACGGCTGACCGAATTCCAGAGTTTGCACCTCAAACGTCAGTCGGTTGGACTACGGTGCCGAACTCTACAACGAACATTCAAATTAAAAACATCAAGCTTTAGAATTATCTAAACAAGTTACTAACTTGATGGAAATTTCATTTTATGACTGTCGTAGAACAGTCAACCCAATTCTTAGAATTCCTTAGTTCCATACCTCTGGTATTTGAAGGGGGAGTTTCTGTGTTGCAAATCAACATACTAGGTTCAAGTACCAAAGTTAAATAAATTTTATTTTTTCTATATTAAATTTTAAACAATTAAAATTACACAACAATTTGTCATTTCAGTTCCTAAATTAATATGCAATATCAAAATAAATTAAGATTTTTATTTATTCCATTATTATTCTCTAAACCAAACATTAAGCTAAAATTACATATACATATAACTAATAGAAAAACAAACAAAAAAAAAATTTAAAAATTTACTTGTTTATCATCTGGCACAGTATATTTCTCAATCAGATCTTCCATTATTTGAGAAGGATTCTTGTTAGGAATCTGTCAAAACATTTTTTTTTTTTTTAATTTCAGAAACATAAGCATTATCACCAAAACATTTCCAATTACCATTTTAAAACTAAAGCTTTCACAATAAAAATTTTAACAGAATTTAAAATAATCAGTTTTAATGATACCATTTGAATGCCAAGAAATCGCAAACAGGAGGAAAAAATACTGGGGGTCAATCCAGAATAGAATTAGGTACATTAAAAAACTGATATCATAAAATGCTTCCTCTCACAAATTAATATTTTTTTTCTAAAATGTGCCATTAATTTCCCATATTGTTCTCATTCTTAGAATTAAAAGGGTTATACTTACATCTGAAAATTCAAAATTCCTAATTATCTGAAACTCAGCCATCTAACCATTGAAAAAAAAGCCATTCAAAAATAAGTTTTTAGAAATGTTTCAATATTTTTTAGAGGCTTTTTATTATTTTACTCACTTTCAAAATAGTTTTAGAAAACTCATTTCACAACACCAACTTCACATTATGTAAGACTTTGCTATTGTCTCTCGTGTAATTTCTCAGGAGACTAGTGTGACTAAAAAATTCCCTTGGACACTGAAGTACTGTATAATAGGGTATTGTAATATTGGAGGGTAGAGGGAATGAAATACCAATAAATAAATTTAAAACCTGATGCTTGAACTTTAAAGAAAAAAGAAGAAAGAAAAAAGAGTATCAACTCTAAGGTAACAGATTTTCAATTCAGAGAAAAGCTCGTTTCAATATGTTGATTATATACACAGTAACATCAAAGGAAAAAAATATGTTATTTACAGCAACATTAATGAATTACACATTGTTTCAGAATACTTTAAGAGTTAATGATATTTGAACATTGAATTATTCTAAAAGAGTAAAATTAATGCATTATAGACTTTAAATGGAAAAAATTTAATTAAAATAGGTGATAAAATCTCGGGTTAAGCATTTGGTATCGCCGAAAATGAATCAACACTTTCAAGAATCTAGTGCATTGAAATATATCTGCTCCTCATAGCCACTGTCTATGCGCTTATACTCAAAATTTCAATTAATGTATTTTAATTTAGTCACATAATTTCCTTGAATATCATTAAGCTAGAAGTTTTTGTTTCATTAAAGCTAAAGAAATAAAAAAAACTTATGTGAAATAAAAAGAAATTCTAATGCACATTTTTTCTTATTTATTAAATAATTAAATATGCAGTTATGTTAATGTATTTTCTTACCATTTTTATTTTTAAAATAAACAGGAATTTTTCTATGGTGAAAAATTATTTTTATATGTATATATAAAATTTGATTTCTGTTTCTATAATGTAGAACTAAATAAATGCATATGCTTGATTACAATACTCTTATAGCATAAATTAACGCAATTAAAAAAAATCTACAATTATTCAACATAAAAAATTTATTCAACATTTTTTTCACTTAACACACAAATAAATCTTCAAAATTGAATTTGAATTATACCTTAAAACTAAGATTAACATGGCTAAAAAAATGAAAGAACAAAATTATTTTGTATTTGTAACACATCATTTAAATAAGCAATATCAGGCACCCATAACTCCTTCTAACCCCTTCTTTATTGAACTAAAAAATCTTTAATATTTAGAACAAACAACCATTAACAATTTTTCATTGGGTAACATATAAATTATTACATATAATTAGAAAATATTTTTAAAATATGTTAAGCCACATTTTCATTAAACTACATTAGGGTACAATTTATCATACTTATCTTTGATCTCAAACAGTTATATAACACTCAGAAATTGTTGAATTTAATTACGAAAAGTGAAATGAAAGCAAAAACGTAATAGCTTTCAAAGCACAGTGATTAAAGGAATGGCAGATGGACTCTAGTGACGTCAGTCCGTGAATAACCACGCTACTCACCATTTAAAATAAAAACGAAAGCTAGCTAGTGCTTTTTGCTTAAAAACAAATTAATAATTAGCACTCTTGGAAAAGTAATAAAATGTTTTCTCGGGGTTTTGAGGAAGATTTTTTTTAAAAATTGACTGTAATTGTCCATTACCTATAACATATATATAATGTTATCAAATTAAAAAATACTTTGAGTAGATTTTAGTGCACACATTTCATGAGAACTGGATATAATGTGAATTTTACTAACAAGTAATTCAAGGTTATATGCATAAAAATGTAATTACCCTATCAACATTGTCAATATGAATAGCAATGATGGTGTTAGTAGTTTTTTTCACAGGTTTTTCATCACTGCTTTCAGCATAGTATTCAAAGTGCAAAGTGGAAGCACTGGAAGGATATGCCTGAAAAAGAAATCACACTAAATTAAATTACCTATATTTTTTAAAATCAAAGTTGAATATTTTAATAAAACAAATCGTGTGACTTACAAATGAGAAAAAAAAACATAAGTTTTTCTCAATTTAATAAAACATGCATTTACGGTAATGGCTAGCATGCAAAATGCAGTCACTAAGCATTAATAATCTGGATTCTGGTTTAGTCCTGACATGGCCTGAACCTGGCTTACTGCAGTTTATTAAGTATAAGCATATTTTAAAATTTACAAAGTGATTAAATATTTTCTGAAAACTGCCTTAACTGATACACATAATGAAGTTATGTCCTAAATATTGAGTGGAACACTCTCGCCTCTTTGATTTCATACATGCTGGCTAGTTCTGAAACTAACATTTTTGCACAATTCAAAACTACAGTATGTTGATATGGTTTATCTAGCAGAGGCATCATTTCAGACTTATCCAGAAATGGACAAAATCATTAAAAATGTCTAACCAGACATCAGTAAGAGATTCACAATGCCTTCAAAAATGGTTAAAATAATCTCCAAGCTGTAAATAAGTAATATAGAGTAATTTTTCTTGAACTACTAAAGTTAAGAAGATGATCCCTCTCCTTCCCTAAATACCACCGAAACTAGGTTTTGGCTCTTTGTACCCAGGGGTCTGTCTAGGTTTTTCTGAGAGGTATCTATTTTGTGAAAATTAAGACATAATTTGTGAAAAATTAAAAATTATATTAAAAAATCAACACAAAAATATGGTAAAAATATGGATTTATCGTTTCTTAAGGGATACACAAATTAAATTTTAAGAAAAAGTGTTTTGTGAAGCTACTGTTTTTCCAAAAGTTGAATTTGTGAAACTACCGTTTCTCCTAAGTTGAATTTGTGAAGGTACCGCTTAATGGTCGTAAATTCGGCCTGGACAGATCCCTGGTACCTAATAGAGGAATCAATGTGAGTCCTTAAAATTAAAAGTTTGAAGACCCCTGAACTATACTAAAAAAATTCTAAGCAGCAACTAGAGATGATATAAGATCAGGTTTGAAAATTCAAGACACATAATATTTCAAGATACATGAAGTAAAAGCAAAAATTTGTGAATGCCATTTAGTACTTTGGCGACTAAATAAATATAGTCATTCATTAAATTTCTATTTCACCTTGAAAACAAGTAAAACGATTGTGAGCTCGCACTTTTACACCAGAATGTTCTTCACCTGCAGACCTTTTTGTTTTATTAGCCTTCAGTCCAAAGAAATTAATTTGGTGATCACAATTACTATATTGTGGCCCGTCATATAATAGAGTCAAAATGACGTTTCAAAAGTTTAATCTCAACACATTTTTTTTTTGTTATAGATATTAAAACTTTTTCAAAAAATTTCCTATTTATAAGAGTAACAAGCATTTTTATTTTAAACTGCAATTATCCTAAAAAAGCATATAATACGTGATTACTTGAATGGTTCTACTTTAGTTATAATAGTGAACAAAAAGCGAAGAATTTATAAGTAAAAACAGCAAATGAAAGATAGAATATTAATACGTAACTATGGGGAAAAAAACTACAGTGGTTTATATTACCTGTTTAAAAACTTAATTTGCTTCAAAAATATATAAATAGAAAACAGTTGACATGCTTCAAGTGCTCAAAAACAGGCGCCTATTTTAAAGATTTACCAGAAAAATGAAGGCCTGCTTTTGAGCATTTCAAACATGTTAAATGTATTTCTATTTATATATTTTTGAAGTGCACAAAGTTTTTTACTCAGGTAATATCTTACCGCTTCCATGATTAAATACAACGTAACTTATTGAAATTATGAGTCACACATCTGAATAATCACTTTTTGACAGACTCTACTAGTGATGATTAGACAATGAATCTATATCCTTTTGTCGATCATCTTTTCGGCAATTTCTACTATGGATTTTGACAAGATTTATAAAACCTTTATGCTTTAATAAGATATTAATTTGACTGGTGAACTTCTAAGAATCATGTTGTGCATTATTGATGATTTAATATTAAACCAATGTGAATTGTGCATTTAAAGAATCACTTTCTGATGCACATGATTTATTACTTCATTATAAATCCACATTGTTCTATTGATTGCATTTTTAACAGTTACTGCTTTGAATTTCCCCAGTGTGAAAGATTTATTTTTCGATATGAAACCAATTTGATCCATCTGTTTCGAATCACACATTTGAGTTATCACTTTAAGACACTTTCTAGTCTTGACAATTTAATCCCAAATTGCTACTGGTTTTTTTTTTTTTTTCTTTTAATGCAAAAAACATAATGAGCATTTTAAAACTGAGATTGAGAAAAATCATGTGGGTTTGGAAAAAATCAATTAAAAAAACGTCCTTTTCAGAAAAAGACCAAGCTGGTTGGTTTATATTAATGTTTTGCTTATGGCACTTAGCATGGTGAAGTCATTTTGATCCACTTATTGTACAAAAGGCATAGGCAAAAAGGTTTAAAAGATCAGCTTATATTTTTAAAAAAAGTTTAAAATATTTAACTATATATTTTAATTTCATTAATTTTACTTTCTCTTCAGGGTATTTATTCGATAAATAAATAAAATATTTTATTTTGATTATCAGAGGTCTGTCTAGGTTTTTCTGAGAGGTACATATTTTGTGAAAATTTAGACATAATTTAAAAATTAAAAATTATATTTAAAAATCAAACTCTCTTCCATCATCAAAATTTCTGATTCTTAATTGAAACAATAAAAACAAAAATATCGTTCAAATGATGAAATTCTCTTTTATTCACAGCTCAAGAAGTAGTTATGGGATCTCTCTGGTCCCATATCCAACTCACCAACTTAATGCATAACAAAATTAAAAGTGAAAAAAAAGAAAGAATTCTGAAAAAATTATCTAGCAGCAGTGGTCGCCATAGCAACGCATGCAATGACGACGCATGCGCACTGTTTACTATTATTCTTGAACACAGTTTTAAAGTGTGATGATGCCACCAAACCCAAAACAGCACCCATTTTGCCAATGGGTAATAATATTAAATGAACTAAAATTAAATTTGCTTACTTAATTCTGTCGGTATGCGTCTTTAAGTTTTGTGCATGATTTGGCAACATAGTGTGAGTGACTTTGTAGTGAAGTGTACATAATTTTATAGTTTGTTCCAATCTTTTGATTGTTTGTAGAGTTGTTCAAATAATTCAGTTTCATATTGTTGAGTGTATTCAGCGTGTATAACACCTTATGTATCTAGATAGTGCTATTTAAAATGCTCCCCTTCCACTTTGGCTCCCTTCCCCCACTCAGTCGTGATCCCAAATGTCCATCATAGCATTTCTATTCTACAATGCCGAAGGGAAAAACAAATGAGAACTCTCACAAAACTTAACAATAAAATTGCAAACGGGATAAAATTGCAAAACCAACTGCTCTTATCAAAATTAAATACAAATGTAAAAAAAAAAAAAAACTTCAAGTCTCCAGTTGCTTAGCCGACAGAGCCAAGAGATTTTTAAAAAAAAAATGAATTAGTTACTGATTTTTTAAAAAGCTCATTTTACTTTTGCTTTTCAACCAGGCTCAGTTTCAATAAGCAGCTTAAATTTTAAAACTTCTGAAAGATACGTATCAAAGCATAATAAATCTGCGTTAAATAACGATGCATTTTGAGGTATGTAACTTGTTTATTCTATATTTATAGTTTATTCCAGAATAACTATTTATCAGTTTCAAAGTCTTACTGAGATTTTATCGTATCTTGCTGGACAAAGTAGGTTTATTACTTGATAAAATCTAAACATTTGTAGCCAAGAATTTGAGATTATCTTCTTTTCCAGAAAAAGGGATGCTATTGAAAAAAAAAGTGGTCATAAGGGATTCATTCAGTGGGCAGAAAGGGATAGAAACAATCTTTAAGAAGTCTTACGAATTTCAAAACCTAAAAATAAAGAGCAAAGGAGTACTTTATTTATAGAAAAAGAAAGTAAGAGAATCTAGTTTGATATAGCAAATTTTATGACTAACTTCCTTACGACGTATGAGACTGACTTTTTAATTGTTTAATTGTTCATGCGTAATTATTAACAATAACTGATAAATGAGATCAATTCTAAAAGATTAATCATTTAAAACAAACATACTTGGTAAAAATCAATAACAATCACCAATTATTATTAACAACTGATTTAATATGACCGTAACATATATAACAAATGATAGATGCACATGATATGTACAGGGATGAGATTAGCCAAAACGCAAAAAAGCTGAATTTCCACGATAGTAAATTTTACGCAAGCGCAACTCTTTAATAATAAATTCCAGAGAGTTTAAGGTAATAAATAATGCGTTGACATACAATTGTGTACTAATCTATTATTATAAAAACGATTACATTGATACTTAACATTTAGTGGGGAAAAAATTACAAATTGAAAAAATAAGGCTGGAAATTATATTTTTCCTCAGTTCACAAAAGAGACAATTACTACTTGAAAAACTACCTGGTTTAGCAAATTAAAACTACTGAGAATATAAATTAATATTTCATTTCTTTTAATAAATACTGTTATGTGATTTATAGCAAATATATCAGTAATATTACTTTTTAAATTATATTGGAAAAAAAAACTTTAACAATGGACCGAATCATTATGTTCATATTATAGTCTAATCTAACTAGAGCCCTCTGAAACATATCAATAACAGTGAAGTAGAAATATATAGTAACTCCTTAACATACAAAAATTGCTATTTTAGTTTGAAAAATTACATGACAATCAGCAACTGTTTAGATAATTGTTTTTTATTTGATAAGAATTTTGCATTTTATAGCATAAATAACAGCAATTATAAATAAAATTTTGATAATGAGTTAATTAACTCTTTTTCCCTAAAAAAAATTTTTTTAATTAAATCCCTTTTTAAGTGATTGCTTTTGTTTGCTATATCTTTTATGTTTGCTATATTTAGTCGTTAGTCCATCTTCAAACATCTTGTGACAAATCCTATTTTTTCTTCTTTGCAAGCACAGAATGTAAGTTTTGAATATATTCCCTTCCAGTTTCTCTGATGATGTAACACTTACATATACTAATAATCGTCGTTAGAAAAACAGTCACCTTTATAGTAACTATTTATAAAAAAAATTTACTTCTTACAAGAATTGCGATAATTGATCTTAAAATTGCGTGAATATGAATAACAAGTATGGATTTTGAAATCACATGAATATGAAACGAGATATACGATTTTGAAAATGAGAAAATACAAACTGGGATATAGAATTTTTAAAACGCGTAAATACAAATCACGATTCATAGTTTTTAGATAGCGTAAATACGAATCATGATGCGTAATTTTTAGATTGCATAAATAAGAATTATGATGCATAATTTTTAGAGTGAGTGAATGCGAATCCCAATGGCTTATTTTAAGATCACGTATAAATACGAAAATCAATGTTTGATATTATAAACCGCATGAGCAAATCAAGACATTGAATTTTAAACTTGAGTGAAAACGAATCGCTGCATAAGTTTTTAAAAAGGCGTAAATACGAATCACAATATCGGATTTTTAAATCTCATAAATAAGAGTCGCATCGTACAATATTCAAATCGCGTGAATAAGAATCGCAACACGCAAATATGAAGAGCTATCGTGATATTAGCAGATTCCAGGCTTGGGACTAAAAGGTTTGTCAGAAGCAGCGTAGTTCGAACTACAAAAATCGGATCTATCTGGAGGGCGGGTAAAAAAATTCGGAAAATCTTATCTGCTACGTGTAAAAGGGGAGAAAATAGCTAAAATAAGTAAAAATGAGAAAGGATTGGTAGCTATGTAGTTTGAATTTCTCTTTGAAAATCGGTGAATTTTCTGAAAAAGCGGAATACTTATAAAAAAAGTGGCATTTTTAGAAAATCTGAATTTTTGATAAAAAAGCTGAAATTCAAGAGATAAAAGTGAAAAAAGCGTAAATCCGCTAAAAAGCGGAAAAATCTCATCCCTGGATAAATGATTTTGAAAATGAGAAAACACAAACTGGGATATAGAATTTTTAAAACACGTAAATACAAATCACGATTCATAATTTTTAGATCGCGTAAATACGAATCATGATGCGTAATTTTTAGATTGCATAAATAAGAACTATGATGCATAATTTTTAGAATGCGTGAATGCGAATCCCAATGCCTTATTTTAAAATCACGTATAAATACGAAATATTCAATTGCGTGAATAATAATCGCAGCACGCAAATAGGAAAAGCTATATTTGACATTAAAATCGTGTGAATAAGAATCGAGATATTAGCAGATTCCAGACTTGGGACCTCTAAAAGGCTTGTCAGAAGCAGCGTTGTTTGAACTACAAAAATGGGATCATCTGGAGAGCGGGTAAAAAATTCGGAAAATCTTATCTGCTGCGTGAAAAAAGGTGAGAAAATAGCTAAAATAAGTAAAAATGAGAAAGGATTGGTATCTATGTAGTTTGAATTTTCTGTTTCTCCTTGAAAATCGGTGAATTTTCTGAAAAAGCGGAATACTTATAAAAAAAAAAGTGCAATTTTTAGAAAATCAGAATTTTTGATAAAAAAACTGAAATTCTAGAGATAAAAGTGAAAAAAGCGGAAAAATCTCATCCCTGAATTTTATAGTTTAGTATTTCCCTCAATAGTTCATTGATTCTAGCCAAAGTTGTTAATCTTCCTAATGTTCTCAAAATTTATCAAATGTTGCATTTTTCTTCATCATAAGTTTCATTTTCTTATCGTGCATAATGAGAATTTAAGGAGAATAAATGCCTTTTTAATGAAGAATTTGCGTAACGAGATTCACATTTTAGATCAGAACTCCTAGATAATTTTGTCAAAATATAAAATATTGATTCCTGGACTTCCATCAATCAACGATGTTGAGATTCGTGGAATTCTATGAATTAGTAGTTGGAATTACATGTCTGTATAAAGTTGGATAATTGGTAATTAATAGCTAGTTTTGTATTATTCATATATATATGCTGCACAAAAAGTGGATTTTGAATTATAGTTCAAAGTAGTTTAAAATTATTATTCCTAATGCTTGTAAGGCTACAGCTTTAAACTGAATTCAAAGTACAAAGTTGCTGCTGCAAATTATTCCCAACATACAAACACATCAATGTAGTTTCTTAATTAATCATTTTATACATTTTTTAATATTAGTTTTTAAAAAATATAGCCTTTAAGAAACACTGGGGGTTTTTTAGTTAAAAGCTAATATGTTTTAAGTGGTTTAAATTTAAAAAAATTGACCAGCTTTTTTTGAACAGACTAAAATCCAGTATTCCGGATTTTCCTCACTGTAAATTGAGTTAAACTTATTCAGCAAGAAATAAAATTCCATCTATGCCAGAGCTCTACTATCTTCGACAAGCGCACATCTTTGGTTGTGTGCTAAAGAAATGACTAAATTATTAAGAAAAATGTAAAAACATAATTCACTCACCGTCACTGGCAAGTTTTGACAACATTCAGCTAATCCAAAACCATTTTCTTTTCCTCCCCAACTCTAAAAAAATGCTTATTATAACATTTGAGTCAAAACACAAATTTTTAAACAATTAAAATATCAACATACTAACCTCTGCCAAATACAAAAGTCGTAATAAAAGTGTCTGTCTTTTATCTGGGTTTAACCTTGTAATAAAATTTGACCTTTTACTGGAAAAAAATACATACATAATTAACTACAATATACCAGCATTGAAAAATTAATATTATATAGCTACATTCACAGAACTTTTTATTGAAGTAATAGAAAGTTATCTTATTTAGAGTAGCTATACAATTATTAAATAAAAACAGTATTTTTCCAAAGAAAAAATTAAAAGGGTATCTCTATGCCTTAGAAAAAAACATGAAAAATGTTATTAAATACATTTGAAATAGGCATCTCTTCAAGGTGGAAAAATAAGCAGTTAAGGTCACTAATAACACAGGTTCGCAATAAAAAATATGTAGTTAAAGAGTTTTCTTTTTTTTTTGTTCTTTTACAGTTTTTAATGCAGATTGATTACTCCTAAAGTAATGAAAATGAGTCATTATGTATAATATCAGATAATCACAAATAGTAATCTATTTTTTTATGAATTTAGCATGTCTTAGACCAAAAAAAAATATTTATCTGAGTTCAACAAATTAATGGACTTAAAATAGTTAATAAATAAACGACAGAACTAAAAAAAAAAAAAAATTGTTTTTGGATCAGTGAATTACCTATCAAACATGATCAGTAAATATATTACAATGAATCTATAAAGCAACTTTATTTCACTTAATCAAGAGAAAGATTATACAATTTTCATGTATACTCTTTCTTTTTATGTAGACTAGAGTATATTTTAGAGTCAATGTTCAACTCCATAGGCCTGTAATGTTGAACACACACCAAAAGAAAAAGGAACCTCTAGATCAAGCATTGGCGCAAACTAGAATTCGTAGAGAACTTTTTAATGAAACTATCCTGCTTTTGTATCACATGGAAAGGAAAACAAAGGTTCACTTAAGAGATCATTTTCTATTTTCCTTTTTAAAAAAATCATGGCCTATAATATTTCAAAACAATCTAATTGATATAATTCCCCACTGTATTCATAATTTAATCAGTTTCATTTTTTTAATGAATATTAGTTTTTAATGGATTTTATTTTTTTAAAAAAGCCACTTTTATAATTGCTGCTAATGGCCACTAGCTGGTAAAAAAATAAAATTCTAATTTTGCGCTAACAATTTAGTAATTTAGACCGAAGTCAGTCATTTGGAATTTTCTTAGAGTCATGTATTCTCGAAGTTAAGCAGAGTTTCACTCTTACAAACCTACAAAAAAAAACTCATAGCATGTGAAGAATTCTCTCAGGAAAAAAAAATTATGCTTAAAAGGGAAAAATAAACATGTTAATAGGATTTTGCAAAAGTTTTGAAATTTAAATTTGAGATTTGCGGGACTCCTCGAAAAATATTGAATGTCCGCAAATCAACGGTATTGAAATTCGCAGAACTCTGCTAATGAAATCAGCAGAAGAAACCATGCGACTGCAAATAAGTATAAATATTTAAAAATATCCTAAAGAAATCCTTACAAATATTTGTCCCTATTTATTTTGCAAAAATGTTTTATATATTTACTTTCATAAATAATTATACCATGTTCCTAAAAGAATATAATTTCAAAAAAATTTATTTGTATCAATTCTCCTTTTAATTACTACATTATAAAATATATTTATTTATACTTATTTATTTACATAATACAAAATACTTTTTTAACATAGAAAGTAATCTTTTTAAATACAAAACTATTTCAAAACATTTGTTTATCTTAGCCCTTTCATAAATACTAAAAACCTATTACCAAAAATCAAAAGCCTAAAAAAAATTCTACTTTTCTGATATTTTTTAGAAAATAAACGGAACCTGCTTTAAAACCAATTGTGCTGTTTACCTGGTATGAAAGTTCAATTAAAAAGGGCAACATCCAAGAGCAAAAGAAATTATTTTTTTAATAACTTATATAATAAAAAATTAGAACAAGTGCTTTAAACTTTTTTACTTTTTACTCACAAAAAAATGAGCACTAAAACAAAATTAAAATAATCAATCTAGAAACATAAAGTGTGATATATTTAATTCTAAATAATGACTAAAAAATTCACCAATATTACCTGAACACATATAGTAGATTAAGAACAGCAAGAACAACATTCATATCACTGGATGACAAAAGTGTTGTTAGATGCTGAAATAATTTAGAAATTAATTTAATAACCATCAAAAATATCAGTCATTGTTGATAATTATCTTATCACATATGTCAGAAAAAATTACCTCCATGGAGTTGTAAAAATGACGAGAAAAACTATGCTCTATCAGTAATGCTGTGAATTGAAGAACACAGAGCAAAAGTTGTTTTTGCTAAAAGAAAAAAGAAGCATTGACGATTAAAAACTACAAAATGTAAAACAAAAGTACATTTTACACAAGATTTTTATTCTAAAAAAGTAGTTGCAAAAATATTTCCGGAAGAGTACACATCAGACATTGACATCTCCTGTCGAAATAACATCTTAAATGTTTAATAGATATATATTTAATTGGTAGTGCACTACTCTACTAAAATATAAAATGTCTATGTTAAACTCTTAAATGCTGCAACTTGTAATGCTGTAAGTTTTGAAGTTGACAGTAATTATGCAAAAACTTTATCCTCATCTTACTTGGAATAAAGATCAATTCACAAATTTTGACCCAAAGTAAAAACAAATTAAAGAGTTGAACAGCTTTCTTAATTTAACAATAAATTCATATTTTTGAAGAAAAAAAATATATTAGAAAACTTACTTTTTCATTAAGAGGATCATCACAAGGGAGACACCATTGATTTTCCTTTTCCTTATTGCATGCCATTTCTAATATATGATCAAAAGCATCCAATGCATCAATCCAGTGATACAATTCACACTAAAATTACACAAGAAATTATTTAAGAAAAGAATGACTATACATGAAGTAAAATATATATAGGTTTAAAAAAGTCTTACCTTCCCACAGTTCCATGTTTTAATTTTAGATAATTCTTCCAAAAGCTCATTGTGATTGCAAGATTTCAACTTTTCAATGAGTGCCTTGCAATCTGGAGGCTAAAGAATTTGAAAGAAAAATATTTGAAAGAAAAATAAATACAATTAGAAATAGTAACTTAATTATTTATTTACTTTGATAAAAGCTGTTTGAAAATCAAAAACTGTAGGACTAAAAAGTATAAATTTTATTTCGAACAAACATTATTAAAAATGAAATGATTTGGGTTAATTATAACTATTTGTTTTTTAAATTTTACAATTAAAATCTGCTTGGCAATCCAGTCAGAAGACTACAAAAAAAATCATTGTTGAAAGTTAAGAGTTAAACACATAAATAGAAAATATTTTGAGAAAAAGAATAATTATACTAAATTGGGCATTAATTAAACTAGATTGCAATTATCAGTTATTCTACTAGACTTTGTAAACTACAGGTCCTTAGGGCACAGGATTTTCATAAAAATTTTCAGTTTCAGGATATAGTACATAATAAGTTAATGTTTTATGATTAAGAAAAAGAAATGTGGCTAAGAATTTATTCAATAACAGTATAACACAGAATCAAATCAAAGGGTTGGTTAATAAAAAACCAAAAAAGAAAAAAACTTTTTTGGGGGGAGGGGGGTTTAAACTAGGTTTTAGGTTTAAACAGTTTGTTTTTTTAAGTATATCTAATATTTTACGCCTTTAATTTTAATTAAGGCATACCAAAATATTTCAGATGTTAAGCACTTAACATTCAAATTTTATTTTAGTATAGAGAGTGAGTCCTCCCTTTTCTTGTCTGTAATATAGAAATGAAATACTTATTTAAATACTTGAAAATAATGGAATGATGAAAAGGTACAAAAACATGGGTTGCATATAAAATATGTGCATAATAAATAAAGTGTATTGTAAACTTTTTTTTTCATTTGTTTTAACATAAAAGAGCTTTAAGTTTAATAATATCAGAGTTGTAAATGTCCTAAAATTTCTGAATTTAGAAACGACAAATTTCTAAAATTTCTTCTTTAAAAAAAAATAATAATAATAATTTTTCCTTTTTGTCCCGACATTTCTGATTTGTGCGCGTTCAAAACATTCCATTTTCTACCAAAACTAATGCAGTTTTTAAAATAATTGGTTTGACTAACAAAAAGATTTGGATTTTTGATCTAATATTGTTTTGTTTTAATTAATAGTTAAATCAGAAAATTACTTTTGAATAGAAATACTAAGAAGAATAATCAATGTGTTTTCATTTTAAAATTATTGAAACCCAACTTTAAAATATTTAATTAAAGAAGTCATTGTTACCAACTTTACTGCTAATTTTAACTATGGTTTAAACCAGCCAACTCTAATTAAAACCAAAATTTCTATATCAAGTGCTTTTTGTTAAGAGATTAAAATCAAGTGATCTTTTCTAATAATAAGACCTGTATTCTTCTTGATACATACTAATTTATAATGCTGATTCAATATATTATTCATTAAATGTGGTAGGATAAAGCAATCATCACCGAAATATGCATGTTACTTGAAAGTAAAAGAATTTTAAAATGAGCTGTAATCTTCAAAAATTACAAAATTCTATTTTAAATAAAGTAAAGTTGTGCTTCAAATGTTGCTTTAAAAATTAATATAAAATGAGAGAAAGAAAGGGGAACACATGTGTTCCAGATAGAAAAATAATAATAAGAAGAAGAAATGATCTGAGATGATTCTCTTTTTTTATCCATCTATTAAATAAGGAGATTCATAAGGTTTCACCTATTAATAGACAAAACAAAGAATTTCCAAATATGAAAAAGTTAGATCTGAAAACAAGTTTATAATTAGAACCGATAGAAAAGTTACATCAAGAAATGTAATTTAATGGTCAGAATTATTTAACTGAACAATAAACTGTTTAAAAGAAAATTGCTTTCATTTTGGTGGAAAGAAACCCAGTTCTTCCAGGACGTTTTTTTATCTTTATTTCACAGTTGAAGAAATTTACCATTCCTGCTATTCACTTATATGAGCTTAAAATTTGTATCAAAATATGGGTTTCAAAACTGAATAAAATATTATTTACAAAGAGAAGTTGAATGAAAAGGAGAAAAACTGGAAGCTTAATTTACTCACCACTTCAGATGAACTCTTCTTTAACTTAGTCCTATCGATTTTCATTCTTTACAGTTAAATAGGGCTTCCACAAATCAAGAAACATTCATTTTCTGTAAACAGAAGACATACCATGAAATATAATAACTTAAGTGAAACAATCCTGATAATGGGTAATTTCCACATTACATCTACCAATAAAAAAGCAAATTTTAATCAACAACTCAGATCTCTCATTTATTTTTGAGCATGTTTCTGATATGAATATGGTTTTAATATGAAAAATATCAAGTTTAAGCTCAGTTAATTCAGTTCAGTAATTTTTTTAAAAGAATTAAAAGATTGTATTTGACTTTGACTTTATTTTAGCTATGGCAATGCCAAATTTAAAGATGCTATTTTTAGAGAAATTTCTGAAATTCAAAAATTTCTGAATTTTCATTCAATTCACTCAAAACAAATTTCATGTGTGTCACAATAATATTGCATGAAAAATATCTGCATTTAAAACACAAAATAAATAAGAATTGTGTAAATTCCTAGTGTTAACTATAAAAATAATCAAAATTCTGCATGGATAGACTATAGAAACAGCAAAAATCGATTGCACCAAAAGAAGATTATCCAAATGCATAATTCAAGTTTTGTGTGTTCTAATAGAAGAATATTATATTATATTCATTATTATTATATTCATCAGAATATTAAAAACTACACAAAAATCAACAACAATTAGGGCTCCATCAAATGCATTATTAAGTGATTACTCAATTTAAATTTCATGTGTCTTAGTATCAGATAAAAAAAATCCTGATTTTATTAACTTGATTTGATTTTATTTTAGGCAAATAAAAAAAGGAAGGGAATTATACCACATTGATTTTATAAAATTTTCGTAATAAACTTTATTAAGTAACAAAATCTTCCTTGGTAGAATGTGTCATACTGTCAGAAAACGATAAAAATATATATTTGTCTTATCTAATCGTATTAAATTAAAATGTAAGTTTAAAATAGAATAAAAAGAACACTTTCAGAGCGAATGCTCTTTCATACATCCGCAATTTCGGAATTACTTTTAATATCGTCAATATTACAAATTTGTTTCCCCATGACATTTGAGTAATTCCAAGCCAGTCATTCAGTCTCATGCTCTTGATATTAAACCAAAGTTGCTTCTAGCTCTTACACATCAGCGTAAAAATTGAAATATAAATATTTGATTAGTGGAAGACCACGAATTAACAGTTTTTAGATTCGGAGATTTCCACGAAGTAGCGAAATAATTACATGCCTGTAATCAAACATTTCTAGAAATTGCTGACTTCCATATTAAGGCTCCACTTCAAAGGTTACATAGTATCCTGCAGTGACGTAAATTACATTCCTGCAGTGCAGAGAAGCACAGGAGGTTTGAGGATGCACTTATCAGAAAAAATAACACTATAAGTTAAATAAAAAGTATTTATTTATAAAATAGTTTTTAGTCCACTTTAATAATATCCCAACTAAACTTTGAATATAATTACTATTATAATAAATAATCATTAATAATACTGAGTTATTTTTGCTTACTAATAAGAAAATTAATTTCTGTATGGTAAGTGCTTCAATTTCTGCCTTTTCATTGCATATACAATTTCCCTTTCTTAAATTAAAATAAATTTAATGATTATAAATATCCCAATATCTCTTCACCACAGTATTTTTGTTTTATAATATAATTTAAAATTCTTTATGGTAGGGTGACCTGGGGTAATTCCTGATCAAAAAATGCAAACATCTATTTTGTGAAAAAACTATTCAAGATAGAATTTTAATATTTACTGGTAGTTTGAGGCTATATGAGATGAGTCCTATGCTACCTTCTTTTGTTTGGAAATCTAATTACAATTTAAAAGATTTTAAATTTTTAGTGATCAGGAATTATCCCTTCTCTTGATCATTTCTGGGGTAATTCCTGATCACTTCTGGGGTAATTACTGATCACCAATTTTTATAGTAAAGGGACTGTTTAAAAATAATTAAACAATGGTAATTAATAAATAAGACATCAAGATCAAACAAATAAACCAAAAAGATATGTTTAAGCAGCCAATAAAACGATTTATTTAAGAGCAAGAATAAAGATTAACGCTTTAAATTTTCCAAAAATCTTTGCAACGTGCCATACATTTTGGGCAAGCAGTGAACTCATTCTCATGTTCTGCTGGAATATAAGAAAGAGTTTCCACATGGGTTTCTTTTGCTGGATTTTTTATCTCCATTAAATGAGAGTGTAGTTTAGTAAGGTATGCAGTGTTTTCACTACAGCGCGAGAATCTCGCATATTTTTTTCTTTTTTCGCATTAAAAAATTATTACTGCGAGAAATTCGCGCATTCTATAAATCAATTTCAAAATTCGCGAATTTCTCGCATTTTGGAAGAAGCTTCGAATTACGCTATTTAGAATAAAATCCGTTTCACTTTTCTTCCTGGATCTTTCATTATTTTCAACATTTGCTCCGTTATCTAGCTTCCCTATTTACCAGTATTGTTCAGAACCTTTTCGAACAACAGAACACAACCGAACCACGGAACCCCTTTCAGAACACATTTCTCTGCAACCACGTGTTTACCGTAGGTAAGGTTTTTTCATGTAAGACGTTCAAATTTTTTATGCACTAATGTAAGATGGACAAATACCTAGTAAAGGCAAAATCTTCTATGATGATGCAGCAAGAATATTCAATGCTTTAAAAAAAAGAAGACGTTAAAAATGTATTATAATAAAAGAAATGATTTTTATTTCCAAGTCTATTTGTGTTTTTTAAGTTTTTGGAAATCTCACTTAACTTTCTGAAATCTCACCCTGTTTTTGAGAAAGGGTGAGAAATTCTCACCCATTTTTTTTCTATGATGAAAACACTGGTATGTCAACAGTTCGGGCATCAGCCCTCACACTGAAATTTTCATTTTCAATCATTAAAAGAAATTCACCAATTTTGCTTTCTAGAAGCTTAGTATTATTTTCAGATTTATAATTTCTCACCATACTTATATTAGGCTAATTTATAAACTTAAAAATTATTCTAACAATGTACACACATAGAATTAAGATGGAAGAAAGGTAAGACAAACCAGAAATGGTGCAAATCAGAACACATTTGTCTTGCTTACAGTTGAAAACAAATTTTGTGATTGCAGCTAAAATATATTTTATATTTGTTCTACTTATTAAATTTGAACTGTCATTTAAGAAAAGACAATTAGCTATTTTTAATACTATTTATAAAAAGAAATGACAATGATCAGGAATTACCCCAGTGATCAATAATTACCCCATCTGTAGGGGGCAACATTTGATATAGTTTCCTGTAATCAATTATAATGTTTACAATAGATGTGAAACAATTAAACAAAAGCTTACACTATTTTCATATCAAAGAAAAGGAAAGTAACTCAAAATATTTATTATTAAGAGAAGGAGGGGGATCTTTGCAGAAATGTGCACAATTTGAAATCCATCTTTGAAATGGAAAATGCAGAAAGCATTTTAAAAGATACTTATTTTGTTAAATTAAACAAAAAACTATTATTAAGTAAATGTACTTATACTTTAGTAAAGTGTACAAACTTTCTTGTCCATGTCTCAAATTTTAAGAAAAATAATTTTTTTTAAATAAAACTTAGGTGATCATTATTTACCCCAGAAACAGAGTGATCGTGAATTACCCCGGGTCACCCTAAGTGTAAAATTAGGAGCAGCTATAAATCTTGTAGGGATATTTCTAAGTCCATGAACATTATTGATATCAGGAACGTTTCTTTCTCTCAGCTACATGAGAGAAGCAATCTCCTTAAAAAAATTCTGCAAGAAAAATTTTTGCAAAACATTTGCTACAGTAAAACTTGGGATGAAAAGTAAATCAAAATTTTTCGTGTCTTAAATACGCAGCTTAACATCAATCAAAAGAATGGTTTCAAGTTTCAGTGTTATTCATAGAAAACTGAAAAAATGAACTCTGAGTACAGAGGGCTTTAAAACTTTTTGTTTTTCCTGCAACCACATAGTTCAGTCCAAGCAAATTTAAATTGGTGGAAACTTGGAAACTAAGCGATTCAAAATTCATTACTCAACTGAGGATTCCAAATTATTGTAAGATATATTTAAATATAAAATAGTAATATATTTAAATATGTTGTTTTATGTATTGCAGTAGTAAAAATATATTTGAAACATCAAAATTTTATAAATGATGTGGAAATAGCTGCAACTGTTACTGTTATTACAGCAAAAAGAAACTATCGGAAAATTACGTTGATTTAAAATGGCATAGTGCCGAATATAGCCCATCAAAAGCGATTACCAAATTTGAAATTCTGATATTGCAATGACATCTTACTAAAAAATAGGAACTTTAAAAACTTTGTCGAAATTATTAAAAAAGTGCTAGGTACGAGTATTTGTCTAAAAAAAATATATATGTGGATTTATGACTGAATCGTTACGAATTGAGCATGTTAAAAAGTGATTACTCAAATTCAATTTCCAAGATGCGTAATAACTTCAATAAAAAGTATCGTTTGAAAAAGCAGAGATGGGACAGAAATTATAAATAATTTTCAAGAGAATGATCAGCAAACAGCACGGATTTACAAAGGAATTGTAGCAAAATGTTAGTCAAAAGGTGATTAATACTCGAACTCAAAATTCACAATTCTTAATAAAATCATAATTAAAAACCAGAAGTTTTAAAAACTACGTAGAGAAGGTTGGAAAAATTATAAATAACAAACGTAAAGACAATCAGAAAATGCCAGGAGAAATGGAAAAACCAGACTGTAAGAGCTTACTAGCAATGTTTGATACTGCATTTTTCTGTAACTACCATTTGATCTTTTAAAGTAGCAATTTGCCAATTACTAGCATACAAAATCAAAACCTGCCATGGGCCAATTCACCGCTGTTAGTTTTGAGTCTTGACATGTTTTTTAAATAAAAATATAAGTAAAGAAGAACTTAAAAACATTCAAAATGAAAACTAAGCAATAACTGTTCTGTTGTCCGTCAAGTACCATAATTATATTTAAAAAAAAAAAAAAACATGCTTACTTGTGCTGAGTAAGTATTTACTATAATTTGATGAGATTTTACGAAATAACAATGCAATTATTTTTTGATGTGCTAAATTCCCCATCATAAATATAAATGTTATTTTATTATTGTTTTTGGGCCATTTATACAAGATTTTTCAAATTCTAAGATTTATAATAAGAAGTTAATACAACACAAATTTGAAATTAGTATATGATTAATCTCAGATGCATCTTTTTCATATCGTTTATTCAAGTTTTTTTTTAAAAGTTGAAATTTTATATTTGAGTAATCACTTACTAGTGTGCTAAATTTGCACTTATTTCAAATTAAATTCAAATAGTTTTTTATAGTTAAAAAAACACAATTTTGAACATTCAGATATTTTTAATGTTATAACTAGGGATGTAAATTAAGAAAATTTAATAACTGGTCCAAATGACCAATAGCCAAAAGATTTTACTAGTCTACATTAAAATAGGTTAATTAAATACAAAATTATACCACAGAAAATGTGTAATTTCCACAATTATGATGAAATATGTCAGTTTGAAAAAAAGCATGAATTTTTAAAAAAAAAAAAAACACCATATTATCTATCTACATTACTTTCTGCTGTGGGAAATCAATGTTTTACTGTGGTTCGAATCAAATTTTAGTGGCATCAAAACAGTGGACCACTGTTAATTTCAACGATTTGCGATTTTTGAATTTCAGTTCATTTTTTTGCAGAGCAAGCAGCATGATCGCCAATTCCATTATAACACTGATTCATTTTTAAATCTAATTTTATCAATTACCACATAACTATTTTTAATAAGATTTTACAAATTTGGTTTTTTTTATCTCAAATATTTAAAAATATTATGGCAAATATCAAAATCTTACTTTTCGACACACTTGATTTGTGCTTATACTAACCTAAACTTACATTGTTTTGTTAGTTTTTTTAGCCCCTGCTACATGATTTTTCTAACTTCATTTCCATAAAATTTTTCTTGCCTTAGCATTAATATTTATTTTGAGTAATTCTCTTTAAATAATATAAGTCATGAGTTTCTCTTAAGTTACTTTCTAGCTGCTTTTAATTTTAAAAAAAAGGGTAGCCTCAATTTTCCTAACTAATAGTCACCATTGGAGCGCACACACACTAGACAATAAGCTGCCAAAACAGGTGTTGCAGCAATTGTGAGTTTAACAGTCTTAATTTTTGATTAATGAATCAGTGTGTAACATGAATAATCAAAATGCTCAGTTTTTTATATCTTATATAAGAAAATTGGAATAAATATTATTTTATGATTACCAGTTAAATATTACAAAATGCATAAAACTTTATATTTTCAACCGAAATTCGATAGTTTTGAAAGTATAATTTCATCCTTAATAGTAAATATTAAGTTCAGCTACTTAATAAGAAATAAATAATCTCAAATAAAACTGTGTAAAAAGTTTACATACATAAATAACCTAAGTAAAACAACAAGCAAACCATAACTCACAAACAAAGAGTACTATTTTAAAAGCAACATAACAATCAAAACTGCTTCAACAAATAAAATTTCGAGCATCAAACTATCACAAATTTCAATGTACTCCAGTTTTACTATTGTTGTTCAATAAGCCGTTGCAACAATTTCGCGATTCTTAAGTTCAAAACAAAACCAGCACTAACTGAATAGGTAAGTTTTACTATAGAGTTACTGGAAATGAGTTTCATTTTGGGTTATGACAAAATCTCATTTTCACAAATATTTGCAAAATAAATGAGTCGCAAAAATACACTATTTAGAAAGATTAGAATTAAAAAGTTTAACACTGCGCACATACATTTTTTAGCATAAATATTTTAATATTATAATTTTCATTCTTGTAGGACAGTTCCTTTTTCATACATTTGTATTTCACCAAGACAAAAAGATATAAACAAGCTTTGTCACAGAGCAATGACAACAACTTACCAAAATTTCATTTCTAATACACATCTACGTACTACACCAACGGATGGCCACAAACGAGACGATACAAGTTGCCAACAATCTGTGGTAACTTCTAAGGCGACTGTACTTGACAGCGATCTGTTTAAACCTTTTGACTCTAAACTGTTTCACTTTTTTAACTTTATTATAGATTATATTAATTCATCGATATCTTTAATAAATAAAAAAAACTGAACTCTTAAAAATTCCATTTAATTCATTTCTTAAATCTATTGAGTCATTCCTTCACTTCACTTCGTGTTATAAAAACTTATACAATAACCATATGATAAATAGTGAAAATCTTAGCATACAAAGATGACGAACAAGGCAAGATCTTTTAAGAAAAATAGGTGCCTAAGCCTTGGTTGCCGAGAGAAAATTGCTGCACCAAGCAGACTTAATTCTGTTTTTAACATATAAAGTCTACGGCGGAGTAGAAATATGATTTTTTAACTTGTCATACTTTGAATCGGGTTTTCTTATTTAAGAATAGGAGTGATCAATCAGAGAAAAATTACTATTAATTTTTCTATCATTTCAGTCCATGAAACTGTGGGTCAATTTTTTTTGTATCCTTATTACTTTTTGTAATATTACTTTCGAGTTGTTGTAGTTGTAGTTCATTTACGTCACACGAGCTGCACAATGGGCTATTTACGACTGTCTGGGAAACTGTACTGAGGATGCCCTTACGAAAATTTAAGGTATATTTAAGGTTGATTTGAGGTATTTTTGAGGTATTAAGGTTGATTTGAGGTTGATTTGAGGTATATTTAAGGTTGCACAGAAAACAGCAATAAAAATTATGTGTACGAGGCTGTTTTATGTATACTTCAGCTTATTTTGAGGTTGTTTAAAATCAATTTCAAATCAACCAGGCCGATGAGGTGGTTTTCAAGGTATACCAGGTTGATTTTCTGACATTTGTAACAAAAGAGGTATTTTTGAGGTAT